ATCTCATGATATGAGATCAACTCCTGCACATTTGCCCAGCAGACGTCAGACAGTTCGTCTTGGAGAGGGAGCCAGCCTCTACTAAAGCTGCAGCAGATCTGGCAGATACCTACATCCACACCCGGGTGTCTGATCCTGACAAGGCTCCTCCGAATGGCTGGAAAGGGGGGAAATCGCCCCTAGCAACCTCTCCTACGTCGGAGAGTCAAGCTCCCCATCCACCCACACCTGCAGCTCCTGGGGCCAAGCCATTCCTGCCTGACAACCGCAGATGTTTCGCCTATGGGAAAAGCAGACATATCAGGACGCAGTGTCTAAAGCAGAAGCAGATGACATCATCTGGCAGCTGGCCAGCAACTCTTCTTCTCTGCTGTTTGTTCGCAGGAAGATGCGGGTAACCCCCGCCAACTTGCAGCCCGGGACACCGGGGCAGAAGTCACCTTGATCCAGCCAGAGCTGATTGAGCAAAGGAACCTCATCCCAGGAAAGTTCCTTACCCTCACCGGAGTTGGGGGGACCTGTTCACGCATACCCTGTGCAAAGGTATTCCTAGATTGGGGTGCGGGAAGGGGGATGAGGGAGGTGGGGGTCTCTGATGAAAATTCCCACACCTCTTTTGTTGGGTGCTGATCTAGGCACTCTTGTTACTTGTTATGCCCCTACCGAGAATACCCGGAAGGGCCCCCTGGAACTCTCTGGACATGCCAAGGTACTGTGGGCAGATTATTGGGGTAATGTCTGGGCCACCTGTGGATGGACAGAGGGAGGGGGCTGGGAATGGAGTGGGGCTACAGGATTCTCCATTAGTAGTAGAGAAATCCCCTTGCCTGGGGAGGTATCGAACTCATGTGTCATTGGTATTATAAACGTGACTGTTGATAATGGTTGTGATGACAATGGGGATGATAATGTCAGCAACATTGATGGTAATATCAGTAATGTAATTGATAATGTCAGTATTGTTGATGGTAAGGTTGGTAATGCTAACAATGATTATGATATTTATTGAAGTCAATCTCCCCGACGCGTCGTACCTTCAACAGCCTATCAATATTCATGATGAGACAAATGATGTATTTTCAGTGTTGGGGGTCACCCACAGTGCTGTGAAGGGGGCAGAGGTACAATCTCTGGGGGCTGAGCAAAGGGATGGTCTGGATAGGCCTATCCCTTGCCCAGGCTCAAAAGATTATGCCTTGATAAGTGCCCAACCGTTGGCCTTGCATAGGGCTAGGCAGCCAACTGGGACTTATAGTTCCACGCCTCAGGCAGCACTGAAAAGCGATTCCCAAAGGAACTTCAGAGGTCAGCTAGCTGTGAGTTGCCCGGCTACGAAAGGGTACACCACAGCCGGCTGGGACTTGTAGTTCCATGCATCAGGCCACACTGAAAAGCGATTCACAAAGGAACTTCAGAGGTAATCTAGCTGTGAATTGCCCTGCTAAGGAAGGTACACAACAGCCGGCTGGGACTTGTAATTCCACACATCAGGCAGCATTGAAAAGCGATTCACAAAGGAGCTTCAGAGGTAAGCTAGCTGTGACTTGTAGTCCCACGAGTAAGGCAGCTTTGGAAAGCCATTCATATGGAGATTATAGCCTGGGGCTAGGTGTGAACTCCCCTGCTGGGAAGAGTCAACACAGGCCTGACAGGACTAATGGCCTATCCCCAGGGGGGTGGAAGCCTGAAAGCCTGCCAGTTGATCTGACTTGTCACGGTGTGTCAACAGGCTGACAAACAGATGTCATAGGCAGGGACAGCACGCTTGGATTGGGGGTGCAAGGGGCCTTATTGGGGTGGATGCTTGGATTACAGAGAGAGGGCTGCAGTCCTCAGATCCAATCACCCCTCCCTGCCCCTCAGGTCCCAAAGCTGCTGGCAATGCCTCTGATAGATGGTGTCCGGATTCAGGAGGTGCAGGCTGACTGGGGCACAGAGACCAAGGGAATGGCACAGTCAGGAATCCAGGGGTCAGCTACAGTCTGGGCATCCCCGGTAGTCTCAGTCCTCAAGCAGGATCCGATGACCAGGCTTTCTGAGGACCTTGGAAAACTGAACGCCAGCCCTGTGGCTGTTGTGGCCTACCCCATGCCCAGGAGCCATGAGGTCATGGAGCATCCGGAGGGTGCCTGCTGTTTTACCATCATGGACCTGAGCAAGGGGTATAGGCCACCTTCTCTAACCCAGCAGGCTCAGGACTAGCCAGCCTTCACTACCCCATGTGGTTTGCCTGAATCCACGGGAAAGCTAGTTGGGGTTGAGAACACACCGACCACCTCTCCAGCGGTCAGGAATGGCCCGCAATGCGGAGTGGAACTGGGTGCAGTTGCCCACTTTAGGGGCCTTGCGGTATTTGGCCCTGTCTGGGAAGAGCCACTTGGGCCCCTGTCACTAGTCAGAAACCAACTGCCCGCGCCTAGTCTGACAGTCGATAAGGGTAACTGTCAGAGGGGCAGGTCAGTGGTTCAGTTTTAGAACACACCGGTAGGAAGAGACCCCCAGAGGTCTGGGCATGGGGAGACTGAGGCAGTTGTGGCCTGGTCTGCTCCCCAGGCCAAAAAGCAGGTTACGTCAGTCATGGATGCCGCTGGCTACGGTAGGACGCCTGGATGCAAATATCATGGCTCAGCTGGACCTGTGACTGACCTAGCAGAGAGGAAACTGGAGGAACTGGTGTCCTGGATGCTAACAGGTAACGAGGACTGTCCATCTTGGACGAGGGTATCTGTAGACACCACTGGGAGGCGAATTCCAGAATCCGCCTGTCCGGTTCCGGTGCGCACAGGCGCTACTACCTTCAGGCCAGATGTAGTCCTAGGCCCGAGGAAGAAGGTGGGAGAGGGGAAATCGCCTTCTTTACCTCGACAAGAAGCTACATATTAATATGTTAGCAGGTGACACCCCTCAGCCGAAGTGCTCTGTGAACAGGTGGGCACCCCGGCAGTGGCCACGGTATTCGGACAGCCACAGCCGACTGGTGCCCACCCGTGACCACCCACTTGGTTGGCTCAGCAGTAGTGCTGGGGGGAACAGATTCCTGTTCAGACGGACCTTGGTTCTCCCGCAGTGCAGCGATACCAGGTCGGCCCACGGTGAACCTCCCATGCACCCACCTGAGGAGGAGGTGTTGCAAAAGCGCGCATCAGAGATGGACGCAGTTCAACCATTTTGGTTTCAACCTCCATCTTGGCAAAGGGACTAACCATCCTGAAATATATTTTCCTGCATCCTCCCCCCTTTCCTCTCTGTTCAGCCACAGCGACATCTGGTTGTGGGTCACTAGCAGGCCAGAGCAGCAGGGGGCCCAGAGCTACAAAGCCTCCCAAGAGAGACAGAGCCGCTCTGCCCAAGAACCTGTGGAATCTCTCACCTCGTAACAGAGATAAGGCAGCTTTTCCCAGGAATTGAAAGAGATTTTAACCTCATAAAACCTAGCAGCATAGGTGACAGAATTAAATGAACATTCCTCAAGTCAGTTTTTCCCCTATGTTTCATATCTTGAAATATGGAAGACTTACATAAAAACCGGGCACCTCGGCAGATGGCCAACGTGCAGACGGACGTTCTGATAGGTCTCTCTACTTGTTTTGCACGCCACGGGGAGCCAAAACATAGAACTCGTACACCGTGTAACGTACAATCTCATAATTCATATCTACATGATCCCTAGACTTCTTTGCATAATAAAATACCCACGGAGAGATTGTCGCTTGTGCAGCTGGAAAGTTTTATAGGCCAAAATATGGATTATGAAAGATGTTGGTTCTAATTCAGAGTTCCGCCCGACGATCCCTCCCTAAACAGGTATTGGTCAGTTACTCCGAGCCACCCCCCTGCTGGGGGACTTTAAAAAACGGGCTAGCAGGCCTAAGGAGGAAGTTGAAGACATCTCCCATTTGTAACATCAATACCACCTGGAGAGACCCTTTCGCTCTGCAACTTGGATCTGCTTACATCAAAGGCTTAAATGGCAAGTAACTTAACCCTTTAACTTCTCCCTGTTATCTCTTTGCTGTGCTATGGTTCTTTGTGTATATATATATATATATATATATATATATATATATATATATATCTTAGTTACATCTTTTTCTGTAAATATTTTATTGCACCTGTTTGACTCTTTTAGTAATAAATCCTTCTTTCTGAAAGTGTTTTACTGTTTCTAAAGCGTGTAATTGCAAATTTACGAATTCCTGCCTCTAAAGAGACGCTACTGTGTTTGTTTAATCCTCTGCCCAATCGGCCTGCGGTGACCGTATTGGACAGACGACTTTTCAACCATTATAGTGTATATTTGATAAAGAGAGTTTCCTCTTTCTCTGTACAAAAAAGGGGTGGTAGCAGTGTGTAAGGGTCAGTTGCGTAATTAACCTGACCCAGTACCAAGTGCATCCAGGCTGCAGGCACAGATTGAAATCCATTAGCTGGAAAATCGCTGTGTAGGGTGCAGTTGGGTTTGGCATTGTTAGGCACGTCACATCGCGGTCTGGATCGGCCAGTCCTTTGGTCACGAGTTTGGTGAGAAGGTCTGGGGTCTGACGCCGCGATCGTGAAATATTGGTGGCAGCGGTCGTGAGATTGTTGCATGTTGGTGGCGGCGATCTTGCGCCCGTGACAGGGCCAATTTAGACAGGAGTCAATTAACCTACCAGCATGTCTTTGGAGTTGCATTGCACTTGATATGACTGTACCTTTGTTTTATACCCAATTTTGTACCGAGAACATAAAGACATATTTTTTGATATGTATAATTTTAAATATATACATATTTTGTAATATTATAATTATATATGTATATCTTTTGATTTATTTATGTAACAAAACTGTTACCTCTCAGATTGTTATTGAATTCATTTTTCAAAAAAATGTTTGTAAAAAAAAAAGAATTTTATTGTGGGACCCCTTGAACGAATTTTCATTTCTAATATGATATACAGTCTTTGCTCCCCAATGTCACAACTCTCTACCAATAATCAGCTAGTCTGTTTCTAACCATACTAACTGCAGTGTTTAGTTTGTGTGTGTGTTTTACTTTCTATCACTTCCACTTCTTTCCAGTAGTTGAAATGTCCAAAAGACAGAATCCTGTGTGTTCTCTGTTGTAGGCAACGCTTTTGTGTGACCTGATTCTCCTTTACCTGGACAGTAAAGCCAGTTTCTACTGGGAGTGTAAATATGAAGAGGTATGTAGAAAACAGCATAGAAAAATATACATAGTAGTTAAAAGCCAGCTGATAAAAAAAACAATTGGGATTCCCCCATCCACACATCCACCCATCCATACAAACCTCTGATTAGCACAGCCCTTGGCCAACAGCTACAGGTAAACATCCAGTCCTAAATAAAGATGGCAACCACCCCAATTTATATCAATGTTTGTGAATAGTGCCGCACAGTACTAATCAGATATTGCTAAATACTTTCATTATGTGCAAAAAAAACCCCAAACTACTAAACCTCTTGTAAAAAGTGTTTGGAAACAAAAAATATCCACATGTACCTATTCAAATACATGTGGATATTTTTTTTTCCAAACACTATTTACAAGAAGTTTAGTTTTGTTTTTTTTTAGCATATTATGAAAGTATTTAGCAATATCTGAATAATATTGTGCAGCATTATTTATACATATTGAGGTATTTTTACTTGTTGGAACACATGAGTGTATGCAGTAGTATATAGCCTTTCAATATAATTGGTAGGTGTATGTGATTGTGCTTGGGTAAGCTGGGTAGATTTTGTGGCACCCCAATATATAGCTAACTTTTAGAGTAAGGTCCATCTGGAAGGGCTTTGCACAGACCAAACAAAACAAAGTATATATCCCAGCAGACTTACAAAAAAAAAAATAAAAAAAACACTAGCAATTCAAGTTCTCTGTATAATATAGTGTGATCTATACATGGATCGAAATTTGGCTAGTTCAGCAGGAAAACAAAAATACTCATAGATTGTAAGGGGCAGGGCCCTCCTAACCCTCTTGTATTGAACTATATTGTTGCTGTATTGTCTCCCTTTATTTTGTAAAGAGCTGAGCAAACTGTTGGCACTATATAAATCCTGTATTATAATAATAATAATTATAATACTCGTGCATGGCCAGACTAAGAGTCTCCATGTTGGGAGTACATACAGGAATGGGTAAAGTAATGGTAGGTATGCCTAGAGGGAGCACATTCCTTTTTAAAGGTGCAGGATCACCCCAGTAGCCTAGTACAGGTGAAACTTGAAAAATTAGAATATCGTGCAATAGTTAATTTATTTCAGTAATGCAACTTAAAAGGTGAATCTAATATATGAGATAGACTCATTACATGCAAAGCAAGATAGTTTAAGTCGTGATTTGTCATAATTGTGATGATTATGGCTTACAGCTCATGAAAACCCCAAACCCACAATCTCAGAAAATTAGAATATTACATGCAATCAATAAAACAAGGATTGTACATAGAACAATATCGAGGCTCTGAAAAGTATAAGCATGCATATGTACTCAGTACTTGGTTTGGGCCCCTTTTGCAGCAATTACTGCCTCAATGCGGCGTGGCATGGAAGCTATCAGCCTGTGGCACTGCTGAGGTGTTATGGAAGACCAGGATGCTTCAATAGCGGCCTTCAGCTCTTCTGCATTGTTCGGTCTCATGTCTCTCATCTTTCTCTTGGCAATGCCCCATAGATTCTCTATGGGGTTCAGGTCAGGAGAGATTGCTGGCCAATCAAGCACAGTAATCCCACGGTCAATGAAACAGGTTTTGGTGCTTTTGGCAGTGTGGGCAGGTGCCAAGTCCTGCTGGAAAATGAAGTCAGCATCCCCATAAAGCTCGTCTGCGGAAGGAAGCATGAAGTGCTTCAAAATCTCCTGGTAGACAGCTGCGTTGACCCTGGACTTAATAAAGCACAGTGGACCAACACCAGCAGATGACAAGGCTCCCCAAATCAACACAGACTGTGGAAACTTCACACTGGACCTCAAGCATCTTGCAGTGTGTGCCTCTCCATTCTTCCTCCATACTCTGGGTCCTTGGTTTCCAAATGAGATGCAAAAGTTGCTCAGAAAAGAGGACTTTGGACCATTGAGCAACAGACCAGGTCTGTTTTTCTTTAGCCCAGGTAGGATGCTTCTGACTTTTGTTGTTCAGGAGCGGCTTGACAAGAGGAATATGACATTTGAAGCCCATGTCCAGGATCCGTCTGTGTGTGGTGGCTCTTGATGCACTGACTCCAGCCTCAGTCCACTCCTTGTGAAAGTCCCCAACACATTTTCTGAGATTGTGGATTTGGGGTTTTCATGAGCTGTAAGCCATAATCATCACAATTATGACAAATCACAGCTTGAACTATCTTGCTTTGCATGTAATGAATCTAACTCATATATTAGTTTCACCTTTTAAGTTGCATTACTGAAATAAATGAACTTTTGCACGATATTCTAATTTTTCAAGTTTCACCTGTAGATCACAATGGCAGCTGAAGGTGTCCAATTTGTCCCTGACCCAATTCCAGCAAGCTAAAGAAAAAGGTGTACATGGAAAAGTATGTATTTCCCACACACACCAGCTACTATAGCTATCAATCAATCAATCAATCAATCAATAAATAAATATAATATAAGACCTTACAATTTGTTAAAACTGTTACAACAGTTTTAGCTGCACAACACCTGCAGATATATGTAGAATTCTTGTCTGGAGTCTTGTCAAGATCCCTTTTTATGGTGCAGGCCTAACTCTAGTCTATGCACCATATTGGAGCATATATAGCAATCTATGCATTAAAACAGAACGAAAGTCCACAATACTTACCTCCTCTCCCAACTGTCCTAAGTCTGCAAGGTCCCTTGGCTTGACTTCTTTCCCCAATGGCTTTCAGGTGATGGTCTTTGGCCGTCTTTGAAGCCTAATGGAGCACAATGGAAGCTGAAGGCACCCAATGTGTCTCTGCACCAATTCCAGAAAGCTAAACACAAATGGGAATCCATATTATAACTAGCTTTTATAGCCCGTATCACATAGAAGGGCTTTGCATCCAGTCCCAGGCTTTCCTTCATAAAGTATATGTGAACCCTCACCTCAACAAGCTATTCAGTTTAAGAGAAATTAAAGACAAAACATTTGTGTATACATATAAAACAAATCATGAATACCTTTTTTACCCCTTTTTTCTAAGTGATTACATACCCTCTGTTCTCAACCCATAATTTGCTCAGAGAACTAGGGGAGGAGAAACAGCAGCACACTTCCCAGTGAATAGCTATGCAGGGGCGGGGAGAGGAGTTGCAACACAAGTCTAATCCGGAGGAAAGCAAGCTGAGATCTCAGCACATTAGAAAACTGACCATACTTTTCTCTTCTGCCTAGTGTGGTCAGTTTTTAATAGGATAGCAGGGGAACTGGCAGGAACACCAGGTATTTCACACAAAGCAATATAAAGAGAACAGGATACTTTTTCATAGAAGTACATCATACAGTAGGCACATATCAGGAATATGAAATGTTGGGGTAACATATTCTTTAAGTAATATGACGTGTCACTCTTCCCTGTATCTGCAGTGGGTGCTGCTGGCTGATAAATCTCACTGCTGATAATGTTCACTTCTAAAAGCTGTCCAAGATCATTTCATAATTATATTTTGTGACAAACACTGTATTAATGCTGAAACTTTTTTTTTTCATACAGGCTAAACCACCAAAAGGCCAACAAGCGGAACAATCTACGATCAACAATGATGAAACATCCACTAACAATGACTGAATCAGAACGGATGTTTTCTAAGGCCTTAGCAATCAGTTGAAACATCCAAGCCAAAAATTTGCTCTATGCAAAGTTGAAATGTTTTTCCTTAACATTCTCACATATCTTCTTGTCCAGAAAAATGTACTTTGGATTTACGTTAATAAGATAATAAAAGCACACTTGTTTTTATTTTAAAAAATTCTTTTTTTTTTTAATGATGAAAATGTAATTCTGTTCAAAAGTGTTTTCTGGAGTGTTTTCTTGAGATTTGGGATATTCTGCATTCCCATGCATCTCACTGAAAGTATATAGTATTATCACCCTCTGCTGTGCAGAAGACAGGGGTACTCTAAGTATATTTACTAACTTTTTCCACCACTTGTATGATGTATTCTGGCATTTCTTTATGGAGGGAATATGGTGTAATAAGTCACTTTTATAATGCAATGCTTGCTTTAACCTACAACATGTTTTAGGATTGTAGCAAATGTTTTTTAGGAATGTGTGCACAGCACAGGGGCAATTTGATACTGAAAGTGGTGCTAAAGGCAAATTAAAAAATTACACATATTTGATGCAGACCGTCACTAACATTATCAAAACAGTATTTGTTTTTCGAAGTCTTCAATGCAACCTAGTTTTTTTACCTGTTGATTCCCTGTTTGAACTTCCTTTTACAGACCAAGTTGGAGGGGTGCTTATGATGGTCCGTATTTATTTATTTATGTAAAACCTTTGTCCTTAAAGGAAAAAAACAATTTCTGTAACTGCTTATAAAGTGTTACCTGTAGTTTGGCATTCATTTGTTAGTCACTTTGTAAAGTCTAATAATACACTCTTCAGACAGTACTGCTGTCCAAGTGTCTCCTTTGCTTCTTTAGGGAAAAAAATTATATTTATAAACAGAAAACCAATGCAACCACTAAATCTAAAAGGTTGAAGTTGCAATATATTAAATATATAACATTTTTGGTTTTGGGTTTAGAAACTCTTTAACCACATCCTTACTGCGCTATAGCCGGATGATGACTACAGTGTGGTTGTCCAGTTCTGGGAGGGCGTCATATGATGTCCTTCCATAACGCGCTCTCCTGCGCTCCCCTAGCGGCGTGCACCCAGTGATCTCCATGATCGCTCTGTCTTACAGACACAACGGATCACATAATGATGTAAAAGTCCAATCACAGCGGCCTTTTACCACGTGATCAGCTGTGTCCAATGACACAGCAGATCACCGAGTAAATACAGTTGCCGGTTATCGGCAGCACTTTCCTCACGTTATCACAGTGCCCAGTAGTACCACCCACCAGTGCCCAGCAGTGCCACCCACCAGTGCCCATCTCTGCCCAGCAGTGCCACCCATCAGTGCCTAGCAGTACCCCCCCATCAGTGCTGCCCATCAGTGTCACCCATCAGTACCGCCCATCAGTGTCACCTATCAGTGCCCATCATTGCTGCATATCAGTGCGTCATTATCGGTGCCTCCTCATCAATGCCCAGCAGTGCCACCTCATCAGTGAAGCCTATCAGTGCCCATCAGTGCTGCCTATTCGTGCCACCTCATCAGTGCCCATCAGTGCTGCCTATCAGTGCAGCCTCATCAACGCACATCAGTGAAGGAGAAAAATTACCTGTTTGCTAAATTTTTATAGAAACAAAGAAAAACTTTTTTTTCAAATTTTTTGCACTTTTTTTCTTTTTAGTGCAAAAAATACCCCCCCCCCCCCAGGTGGCAATTAAATACCACCAAAAGAAAGCTATATTTGTGTGAAAAAAAGGATAAAAATTTCATATGAGTACAGTGTTGCATGACTGCGCAATTGTCATCCAAATGCGACACTGCTGAAAGCTGAAAATTGGCCTGGGCACGAAGTGGGTAAAAGTGCTCGATAAGCAAGAGGTTAAAGCAGAACTTCACTCTTTTAATCAACACTATTTTTATTCCTTATACTGCAAGCATTGGTAATTAAATAGGAAAGTATGTCATATTTACTTGTTTTAAACTTTTCTTTTACATGTCTTCAGTTACTTCCTGGTTTCCTAGGCAAATGATATCATACCCAGAAGTCTGCCGGATGGGAAGCTAAACATACCTTCCTGTCTGCATGCCTGAACTAAGTGCAGATGGATTTCAGGAAGTAAATGCTACATGAATCATCTGCCCTTACTCAAGATGGCCACGACCAGAAATGCTAGCAGGTGTTTTTCAAAGTTATGTCTCAGCAAAATAAACCATGGAGACATGGATGGAGGTAATTTTCTTTAAATATAAAAAATTATAGTGTTTTCGGTTTGTGGTGCTTAAATGCAGTGTTGTCACGCTTTAAGCTGACCATACACTGGTATATTTATTTTGTTCAGTGTTTTTTTTCATATATGGCCAATGTTATTTGACTTTGAACTGTTACATTTTTTTTCTTGGGTCCCAGTATGTTAACATTTTCCTCATTTGGGTCTTCAGATTAAAAAGCCAAATGAGCCCTGCTGAAATTCTGAATATACTCATTAGCATGCAGCTTCTTTCAAAGTTTTTACCTCTGGTGGTTCAATGCATTGCACCTGTTTAACACATTCCCGTCTGGCCTACAGCAGATTGACGGCAAGGCGGGACACTCGCCGTTGTGACTGGGTGTCATATGATGTCCTGTCAAAATGAGCCACTCACACAGCAGCGCGATCTGTCACCGGCTGTGTCCACAGGACAAAGCCGATGACATATCAATACACCGGCCCATTGCCAGTGTCATGTGACCGCTGTGACCAATCACAGCAGATCACATGTCAATTGTATACAATGGATGGTTTCCTGTCATGCCATCCATTATATACAATTATGTTGTTAGCTGTGACTGGTCAAGGCAGTCACATGATACAGACAGGGCCAATCACAGCCCATCTGTATCATGTGATCAGCTTTGCCCAATCACAGCTAATCACAACAAAAGAATCAGAAAGAAAAGAATCAGTTTCATTCAGTAACAATGATTGCAAATATCAATGAAATACATTGGTATTAGCAATCATAATGTGTTAAAAAATAATAATCCTGATCACTTGCCCAGAGTAGTTTAATGTTACTATGGTAACATTGTATTGCTTTGGTCACAGTGTGCTGAAAAATAAAATAGTAAAAAAAAAGAAAACATTTAATAAAAATTTTTAAAAAATGGAAACATTTGAAAAAAAAAATACAAATTCAATTATTATTATTATTTTCACCAAAGAAATGTAGCAGAATACATTTTGACCTAAATTTATGAAAAAATGTCATTTATTTGCAAAATTTTATAACAGAAACGAAGAAAAGTGCGTTTTTTTTTCAAGTTTCAGGTGTTTTTTTTTTATTTAGCAAAAAATGAAAAACACAGTGGTGAGTGAATACCACCAAAAGAAAGCTCTATTTGTGTGAAAAAAATGATAAAAATGTCATATAGGTACAGTGTTGCATAACCGTGAAATTGTCATTCAAATTGCGACAGCGCTGAAAGCTGAAAATTGGCCTGGGCAGGAAGGGGGTATAAGTGCCTGGTATTGAAGTGGTTAAAGCATGACCCCCCAACTTATTCACTGTTTGAAATGAAGTGAAGTCTCAGAAAGCAGTAACCCTTTAGCTGCAAAAGTAAAAAAAAAGAAAAAAAAAAAAACAAGCCACCGTGAAACTGATTAGGTATGCGCAATCTGCCTATCTAAAAAAAGACTAATTGTTCAGTGCTAGGCAGCCAATATGAATTTATCCTGAGGAAGCAAGAACAGTGCAGAATGTGTTCTGACTGTCATCTACAATTAAAGAGATAGACCTTTTATGGTCTCCTGTCCCACTGACCATTCCCCTCATCTCGGCTGTTTTCCAGAACTACAGCCTCCTGCGGAATATTTCCATCTGTCACTTCCAAAAGTCTGGTCCCCTGTGTGCGGTCCACCACTGTGTGTAGTGGTTCCATATACCAGCCCCTACACAACTACTGTGTCCTATAGTACTGTAAGGGCTGGATATGAAAAGGTAAATACTCTAGAGGATTTACTCAAAGATCATAGTAATGGACATCAGGAGAAGCAAGTTAAAAAGTCTTCTTTTGCAGGTTGTGTTTTTTAAAATTTTTTAGATGCTGTGTACAGAAAAGGCATCAGAGGGCAGAGGACTAGTGACCATTATTGCCTGTGGTCTTCCTGAAGCTGATCCTTTCCCATTACTGATATACTGTGCTTTGCCCTTTACTCTCAGTTTGGAGGTGGCCATCTTGGTAGAGGCAAGGTTTTGCTTTTCCTTGTCAGAGTGTCCAGCTAAAAAGTGAGCAGCACAGTTGGGACATCATCAAATCTCCGGAGGCTAGCAGTCAGAGGCAGCAGGGCCTAAGATCTCACATTGCAGATATACAGCTAGGAAGCTGTCAGCACAGTGGTGCCTAGGCACCCTCACCTATCTGGAATTCTAGACAAAAAAGTAGCTGTCAGGGTACTAGTTAGGCTCCATTAACACCTGTAGATTTTTCCATAAAAAGGCAAATCTCCGCTTTCTGAGCTACGTTCCACTTAGGATTAACCACTTGCCCTCCTGAGGATTTACACCCCTTCCTGACCAGGCCATTTTTGATTTACAGCGCTGCATTACTTTAACTGACAATTGCATGGTCATACAACACACTGCACCCAAATTAAACTTCCGTCCTTTTTTTCCCCACGAATAGAGCTTTCTTTTGATGGTATTTAATCGCCTGTGCGGTTAAAGACTGACAATTTTGAAATAAAAAAAAAAAAACAATATTTTTTTACATTTTGCTATTAAAGATGTCCAGTAAAAAAACGTAAAAAAAAAATCTAATTTTGTCATAAATTTAGGCCAAAATGTATTCTGCTACATGTCTTTGCTGAAAAAAAATTCCAATATGTGTAAATTAACCGATTTACATGAAAATTATAGCGTTTACAAATGGCGGCATATATACTGGGAGTTTTTTTTTAATTTTTACTAGTAATGGCAGCAATCATCTACTTAGAGTGGGACTGCGGCAGGCATTCTGACACTGGGGGGGAACTGACTTGGTGTCACTGACATCCTCAGTGACACCAATACAGTGATCAGTGCTAATAAAAAGCACTGATGCTGTACTAATGACACTGGGCAGGAAGGGGTAAACATCTAGGGAGATCAAAGGGTTAACTGTGTGTGGTTTTACTGTAAGCTGTGTGGGTGCGCTTCACTGTAAGCACACTGCTTTGCATGTCTCTGCTATGCAAAGCCATGCATAGCAGTGTGCAGGAGCTGACAGGGGAGAGAACTGTATTGTTTTTTTTATAGTTCTCTCCCGCCTCAATCACTGGGGGCCGGCGAGTAATCACCAGCAGAGACCCGGTGATTGACAGTCGAGGCCGTGAATAGCGGTGCAGGTAGGGAGCTCATTGCGCCCCCTACCCGGAAATGCAAAATCACGTATATATGCACGTGACTTTGCGTACCCTGCTTCCCTGTAGCAGTATATCTGCTATAGGGTGGTGGAAAAGCGGTTAATAAAAAAGAATGCTTATTTACTTCAGAATAGCAAATTTATTCACAGTCAGTTTTGGAAATGTATTAATTACAATTTAAATAATACTACGTTAAAAAGCATTAGTTCAGTCATTACTTGTTCTGTGCTATACGTTTTTCAGAGCTTTGATTTTCAGTGCACACTTCAGCTGTCATTGTCATTCTCAGTGTTGTAAGAAGCCTACATATGGAAGAATCACTCCTGACTTACAGTGCCTTGAAAAAGTATTCATACGCCTTGAAATTTTCCACATTTTGTCATGTTACAATCAAAAACGTAAATGTATTTTATTGGGATTGTATGTGATAGACCAAAACAAAGTGGCACATAATTGTGAAGTGGAAGGAAAATGATAAATGGTTCTGAAAATATTGTACAAATAAATCTCTGGAAAGTATGCAGTGCATTTGTATTCAGCCCCCCCCCCCCCCGAGTCAATACTTTGTAGAACCACATTTTGCTGCAATTACAGCTGCAAGTCTTTTTGGGGATGTCTCTACAAGCTTTGCACATCTAGAGAGTGATATGTTTGCCCATTCTTCTTTGCAAAATAGCTCAAGCTCTGTCAGATTGGACGGAGAGCGTCTGTGAACAGCAATTTTCAAGTCTTGCCACAGATTCTCCATTGGATTTAGGTCTGGGCTCTGACTGAGCCATTCTAACACATGGATATGCTTTGATCTAAACTATTCCATTGTAGCTCTGGCTGTATGTTTAGGGTCGTTGTCCTGCTGGAAGGTGAACCTCCGCCCCAGTCGCAAGTCTTTTGCAGACTCTAACAGGTTTTCTTCTAAGATGGCCCAGTATTTGGCTCCATCCATCTTCCCATCAACTCTGACCAGCTTCCCTGTACCTGCTAAAGAAAAGCATCCCCACAATATTATGCTGCCACCACCATGTTTCACGGTGGGGATGGTGTGTTCAGGGTGATGTGCAGTGTTAGTTTTCTGCCACACATACCATTTTGCTTTTAGGCTAAAAAGTTCAATTTTGGTTTCATCTGACCTGACCATCTTCTTCCACGTTTGTTGTGTTTCTCACATGGCTTCTCACAAATTGCAAACAGGACTTCTTATGGCTTTCTTTCAACAATAGCTTTCTTGCCACTCTTCCATAAAGGCCAGATTTGTGGAGGGCACGACTAACAGTTGTCCTGTGGACAGATTCTCCCACCTGAGCTGTAGATCTCTGTAGCTCCTCCAGAGTTACCATGGGCCTCTTGGCTACTTCTCTGATTAATGCTCACCTTCCGGCCTGTCAGTTTAGGTGGACGGCCATGTCTTGGTAGGTTTGCAGTTGTGCCATACTCTTTCCATTTTCAGGTGATGGAACTGTGCTCTGTGAGATGTTCAAAGGTTTTGATTATTTTCTATAACCTAACCTGGCTTTAAATGTCTCCAAACTTGATCCCTGACCTTTCTGGTGCATTCCTTGGCTTTCATGATGCTGTTTGTCCACAAATGTTCTCTAACAAACCTCTGAGGGCTTCACAGCTGTATTTATAATGAGATTAAATTACACACAGGTGGGCTCTATTTACTAATTAGGTGACTTCTGAAGGCAATTGGTGCCACTAGATTTTAGTTAGGGGTATCAGAGTAAAGGGGGCTGAATACAAATGCACGCCACGCTTTTCAGATATTTATTTGTAAAAAATATTGAAAACCATTTATCATTTTTCTTTCCACTTAACACTTATGTGCCACTTTGTGTTGGTCTATCACATAAACTCCCAATAAAATATATTTACATTTTTGGTCATAACATGACAAAATGTGGAAAATTTCAAGGCGTATAAATTCTTTTTCAAGGCACTGTATAAAGAAAGGTTCAATATCAGACACAAAGCCCAGTGCTGATGTGAAAAGCCGCCATAGCATACAGGAGTCCAGTTCACACTTTGTCAGCACTAAAAAGTTGAATTGTGATTGCAATGGCTTAATGATCCTTGCACATTGCATATTGATCATTAAATGGGGCCTATATGTGTTTTGATCAGATAAAGGCATCATTATGACTGACTGGAAGCAATGTCCTTTCCAGGACAGCTAACAATTTCACTACAAAACCAATTAACTAATTATCGTTCATGGTTGTAGACCAAGTTAGTACATAAAAGGAAATTAATGAATGGTTTTGTAAGTAACACAGCTTCTTCTTTGTTAGTTTGTTCATAAATCTGTATTTTGCAGCTTCAGGGCTCTGCAAACTACAATTATATTATTGAATCAAGCCCTCTATTAATACTGTTTAAACTATTACAGTGCTGATCCGAGGCATATCTGTGTTGTTTATCAAGGTTATTTGGAACATACTGAAGGAAATCTAAAAAATTCTAGAAAGTGAGGCCAGTTTCCCTTAAAACTGACAACAACAGGTAATTCTAGTGGTCTTCATTGCTTCTTATTTTGAGCTAAGACGCAGGATGATCTTCTCCCTGTCTGCAGGCTTGTAGTCAGCAATGCCTAAGAAAGACAAGAAAAAAATGTCAGTAAAAAATTCACACAATCAGTATGTTCACCTTTCTGAATATGTTACACCCATATTTAGGATGTATGTTCAGCATGCACCTTCTCTCCCCAAAATCCCCCCACTTCCCGTGACAGCAGGCTGGGAAACTTCTTGAAAAAGTATACCTTATGGCGCTGCTCTAAGCTATGGATGGAAGTAAAAGGGTCACCCCACCGGCAAGTGAGAATAGGGGAGCATGAGTCCGAGCGATTCTAGTGTCAGGCAATACACGTGAAGGGATGGATGCTACTCAACCGAATCCCAGGAGTCCAATATTGAGGAATGGCCTCAGTTCTTGACATGGCCCTGATGCGTTTCGCCCACACCCACCGGGGGCTTACTCACAGAGGTGAGCAGGGCAAAATGCATCAGAGGGCATGGCCAGAACAGTGACTGAGGCCATTCCTCAATACTGGACTCCTGGGGTCGATTGAACAGCGTCTATCCCTTCATTTATACTGGGGACCTTCTCCCCACACCCTCTGTCACAATTTGAAAACAGCAGGCCGTGTCATTCATTAACAGTTTCCTGTGAATGATTAGATTACAAGTACCATCGGCCATTACAACAGACAGGTTTCAGTTCTCAATGAACTACAAGGGTGATGGTGAGTGCTCTCATAGTTCATTGATCTTCTTGCTCTCAATATGGGAAGTACGGGCAGACAGCTATCCTGAAAGTCTACAGAGCCCAACATTGCACTGATCTGCTGATCCCGGGTCCAATGCTCTATAGGCTCCTTATAAAAAAAAGTTATTAATTCACTTTTTTTACCTGCATTTGTTGTGTTTCCAAAAAGGTGAACTTATCCTTTAAAGTGGTTCTAAAGCCTGGGCACATCCCGTTATTTGTATCACCTTTCACCCCCCTGTATACTTATCTTAACCCGATCTCAGGGGTGTCCCTAGGGTTGGTATCATCCGGTGCGGTAACACTTGGTGTCACCCCTCCGATGATCCCCATAGGATGGATTGGATCTGCAGATTGAGCATAATGGATCGGAGTCCGATCCATTATGCTTCCCAATCCACAGATCCGATCCATCTTGCGGGGCTCATTGGCTTGCAACCTATACAAGGTAAAGCGCTGTGCAAACTGTTGGCGCTATATATATCCTGTATAATAATAACTGATCTTTCAACACCGGTCTGGTCTGCACATGCTCAAGAAGTGATGTCAGATGGAGGAGGTTCCTGCTATCGTGGCTGCATTTCCTGGTTACAGACAAGTCCCGGATCTTGCACAGCCTTACCTAGATCAGTTAACCCCATATAGGTTGCAAGTCGACGATCCCTGCAAGATGGATCGGATCTGCGGATTGGGGAGCATAATGGATCAGACTCCGATCCAATATGCTCAATCTGCAGATCCGATCCATCTTGCGGGATCGTCGGCTTTCTTTAAAACGTTCCTTTTCGTGGAGCTCGTGGAGAGGATCCGGTGTCACCCAGTGCGATGGGTGACACCCGGTGCGGCGCGCACCCCCCTAGGGACACCACTGCCTGATCTCATCCCAGAGCTATGCACATCTGTAGTGGCCCTTGCCTCTCTCTCTCTGTGCTCATAGAGGCAGCTGCAGGAGCCTCAGGTTCCTGCTTCTGTCAGTCAAATCCTGTGAGGTGAGAGGTGGGATGGGCCTGAGCCACGCTGTGTGTGTCAATTGACACACACAGCCCAGCTCGGGATCAAGTGCACAGGGATGCCCCCAAACCAAGTCGCCTTTAAGGCTAACGGTGGCAATACATTGAATTTGTCCAGTACAACAGGAGCAGGCTGAATTCCAATCAGTGTGTATCTGTGGCCGCTCAACAGAAGTATATCAAAACTAATCTTTATTGACTGGATGGTGGAGGCTTGATCCCTTGCTATATCAGAGTAGAGGGATAGGATTACCTCTCTGGAGTTTCTAGCAAAATCCCTGGTGCCACAAGTGTTTTCTCTATGCCTTAGTTATGCTCCCACAGCCATGATTCTAGTTATTTCAGTGGAGAGATCTCATTGTTGGACTCCTGGTTTAGTATCAAAAATTGAAGTCAGTCCCCTCTGTATACTTGTCAGGAATGGACTCAGCACTAGTGGTGGGACTCACTGCCGTGTGGGCTGCAGTACCAGGGCTGAGCAGCGGGTGCTCTCAGCAGCCAGAAGCTCACTCCTGTAGTCAGCCAACACCTGGGCTGATTGCAGGAGGTGTATTTAAGGAATGACCAGGCCTGTGATCAGGGCCTTGGTGTATGTTTCCCATGAGCCCCTGTTCCTGGTATCCTGTGTTCCTGCTTCGTTGCTGACCCTGCTTTGATCCTGACCTCTGCTGACCGTCTCCTGTTGAACCCCTGGCTTGCCTGACCATCCTTCTGCCTGATCCTCGGTACCGCGCTGCCCGCTACCTGCTGAACCTGGCTTGTGACCCCGACCATTCTCTGCTTGCTCCTCCTGTACCATGCTGCCCGCACGATACCGGGCCCGGCCTGTCTGACTACACTTACTTCACCCGACGATCCATCCATCCCGCACGGATCACCTTTAGTAAGTCTGCCTGCCTCTTCCCATCAGACTCCGTTCCTGCACTCCCCTGCCAGTACTCTCTACCACAGCCGGACGCACTCAGGGGTCGCGACCTGGTTCCAGTCTGCACCAAGTCCATCCCCACCATCAGGGGCCCTGGTGAATAGCAGGCTGGGACTTAGACCCCGCACCCTGGGGAAATCCGTGCTGTGGGCTGCTAGAGACACTGCCAGGCGGCACCTGACAGTACCTTACGGCCTACCTGACCATTCCACCTCTCCAGCCTGACTACGCCTGTGTTCCTGAAGCCTGCTACTTCCCTGTGTCAGTCCACACATTTCTGGTCATACCCGGATCCCTAACAATACTCCACTATTATTATGTCCATACTGGTCTTCCCATTAAATGTTTAACTACAGCAATCATTTAGGGTCTATTTATACAAAATGTGTCCTTCAAATGTCCCAAACATTCACCCAGCCATCTTCTGACTGTGAGCTCCATCTAGTGGTTATAATGTGGTATTTATGTAATAGTTATCTTATTGAGGTATTCCAGGAAAAAAATACATTATGGGCACTAGACGGCGCTGACAATCATAGAAAATCAACATATTATTACTACAGGTACTTCTATAGTGCCGTCAGTTTACATATATATTGTACATTCACATCAGTCCCTAACCCTCAAGAGGTACAATCTAAGGTCCCTAGCTTACATTCATACATATACGTACTATGGACAATTTAGACAGGATCCAATTAACTTACCAGCATGTCTTTGGCGTGTGGGAGGATACCAGAGTACCTGGAGGAAACACATGCAGGCACAGGGAGAACATGCAAACTCCAGGCAGGTGGTGCCGTGGTTGTGATTTGAACCAATGACCCTAGTACTGCCAGGCAGAAGTGCTAACCATTTAGCCACTGTGCTGCCCTTACACATAAAGCAAAATATGATGAGACTTTGTGGTGGTTGGGTGACTGCTTGTGACATACGTCCAACAAATATTTTTATTAATAGACCCCTTGAGCTGAGGGATATCAAGAATAAGTCTGACTGTTTGCTATTCCATGTGAGCAAATTCGAAATTCAATCTTCTTAGAACTTCCTGTGTTCCACTCCACCAAAAATAAAAGGATAAAAAAAAGCCATGAGTTCCTCCTTCCTCCACAGATAACAGCTGAGCACACCAAGTACACTGGAAGGTATCCCATTCCTGGAGGGCTATGAGTGAGCAGGCACCATTCTATATACTCTTCAACACCAGGTGGGTGCTACTCCTATGAGTTCACTGGACCCCCTACCTTTCCACCAAGGTGTGCAATAGGCCTGATTGTCAGCTTGCAAACAAATCATATCCTTTCAGTATTTAGTATGTGCTTACAATGCAATGTACATGTGTGCACAGCTCACAGTGTACTATAATAATAATAAAAAACAAAAAGAACAAAAAACAAGAGTGGTTTACTGTGGACTGTACACTCCAGCACCTGAACTTATGTTGGCTAAGCAATGGCATGCCCAAAATAAGAGTTGGATCTTCTCTACTGCTAGGATTCTCTTCAGCTTCCATACTTTAGTAACAATCCTATTTAATCAATTACAATGCAACTGTGATCATTAGTGCTGAACTACACAACTAAGACTCAGTATTAGCCATAAACAATAGAGAATCATCCAGCTGCCTTTCAGCAAACCCATTGTGAGGAGTGCATTTCCACAGGTAATGAAAAAAGGTTAAAAAAAAAACAAAAAGAAGGAGGACCTAGAATGGGATGGCATACAGTATCTAAGCAAATCCATTTTTTTTATGAATTGGTTAGTGTGGAGTTCTCATTATTCTAAAAGACGTTTACTAAAATAGGTGTTACGATGTGTACATGTGTGTTTACTTGTAAAATCTAATACTCTGTGTTTTTACGGTAAGAAGTCCAACAGGGGTACAAAAACTGCACAACACCTGTCCCGAAATCCCACATCATTATCACGGGTACCAATGGTGAGGAGAAGCCCGATCTCAGTAACAAGCTGGTACTTAAAGTGGAACTTCACTCTCTTAATCTCTCTCAATCAGCATTGACTATGTTGGTCTTAAACAGATAGGAAAGTATATTTATTTGTTTTAAACTATTTTTATACAATTCTATAGTTACTTTCTGGTTTCCATGCCTAGATAAATGATGTCAGACATCCCAGGAGTCTTCAGGAGGGGAGGCCGGGTTTTCTTATCTAAGCAAACCCTCCTGTCTGCATGCCTGAGTTAGAGGCAAATGGATTTGAGGAAGTAAATTATATACACCATCTGCCCTTACCCAAGATGGCCACGGCCAGAAATGCTAGGGTGTTTTTCAAAATGATTTCTTGGCAAAATACAACATGGACACATGGATGGATAGGGGAGTTTGCTTTGAATATTAAAAATTAATTACACAGCATTTTTGCTTTGTGGTGTTCAGATGCAGTGCAGTTCCATTTTAAAGGGGCCACTTTCCTTTAGAACCCCTTGACACAAAGGGGGAGGGCTGTACTACTTTTGATAAATAACTCAACCGACCGTGAATTAACCACGTCTATGTCAAGATTCTAACTTTTTTTTATTTACTCATGTTCAATTGCTGTTGATAATTGTAATTCAGATTTTTCTCCTAAACTTACCTTATGAAACACAGACTCCTTCCCCAAAACTTACCTTCTAACAAAGAAATATCAGAATCCTTAAGAAGCTGCCAATGGCCTACTACATTGTTGACGGCTGTCAGGTAAGGACCATACAGGGAACTTTTAGTTTCAAATCTAAATTGGACAAAGGAAAATAATAAAATATATGAAATAAACAATGCTGTATTTAAAAAATGGCAAGTTTACATTATGCACAATTTGACGTGAAGTTAGATAAGTAAAAGAGGAATAACAAATAGGTAAGTGGCTTTGTACTGACTACGGAAGGTGCTAGCATGCTGTGCTTGTACAAACACCGGTATGATACAAGATGTAAAAAGACATGGATCAGCAACCATACTAGTGTGGTCAGTTTACTCTCAGGAGGAGGGGCACAGGCAGGATCATCCAGGTATTATAGAACACTGGCAGCCTGAAATAAAATCATGTTACTGGCTCTTTAATGTATATTAATGTGCTCTTTAGATTTGCTTTGACTACGACTACTGAAGGTTTATGAAAATCAAATTAATCCTTCAGTGACACAAAGGCTTTACTCCTGTTACAGCACAGTTTGTTTCCAGAAAAGGAAGCAGTAATAAGTCAAAAGCTTTTAAGGCTAGAAGTTTGCTTTGCATTGCCATGTTACTAGGTACTTCAGTTTGTTAATCCAGAAAGCCAAATACCGACAAATTGTGTGGTTGCAGATTAATACCTGAAGCATGGTAATATGGTCAAGAGACTCTGTTGTTCTTCATCCAAACATTAGAATGGAGATGATGTGTGAACTAGCTATATTTACCATGAAATGATTGTTGGTGCCAGCCATGGTTTTTACAGCTTCGCTAATCTCTTGGGTTTCCTCCTGAGTTTTCAAATAATGGTGCAAAAATACATCCAAAATGTTTCACTTAACAGCAGTTCTATGGGTGAAGATAGCCATAAATGGATAGAAAACTGGCTAAAAGATCGTATCAGAGAGTAGTGGTTATTGATTCATACTCTGAATGGTCTAGGGTTGTCAGTGGTGTACCCCAAGGTTCAGTGTTGGGACCCTTACTTTTTAATATATTTATAAACAATATAGGGTCTGGGATTAAAAATCCCATTTGAGTCATTGCAGATGACACCAAGCTGTGCAGTGGAATAACGTCCTTACAGGATGTCTTCAACTTACAAGCCAACCTCAATGCACTGTTTAAATGGGCAACTATGCGGAAAATGAGGTTTAATATTGATAAATGTAAGGTTCTGCACTTGGGGGCTAAGAATATGCATGCATTATACATACTAGGGGGGTACAACTGGGGGAATCAATGGTGGAGAAGGATCTGGGAGTTCTGGTAGATCACAAGCTTAATAATGGCATGCAATGCCAAGCTGCGATTTCTAAAGCGAGCAAAATTCTCTCTTGTATTAAAAGAGGTATAGACTCCAGAGAGAGAGATATCATATTACCCCGGTACAAATCATTAGTAAGACCTCTTCTGGAATATGCAGTTCAGTTTTGGCCACCAATTCACAAAGAGAACATTGGGGAACTGGAGAAAGTACAGAGAAGGGGAACAAAACTGATACGAGAAATGGAGGAGCTCAGCTATGAGGAAAGATTAGAGGAACTGAATTTATTCTCTCTTGAGAAGAGGAGATTAAGGGGGAAATGATCAACATGTATAAATACATCAGTGGTTCATATAGTGAACTCGGTGTAGAGCTATTCACCCTGAGGTCATCACAGAGGACAAGGGGGCACTCTTTACGTCTGGAGGAAAAGAAATGTAATCTCCAAACACGGAAAGGTTTCTTCACAGTGAGAGCTGTGAAAATGTGGAATAGACTCCCTCAAGAGTTGGTTCTGTCAGCTCAGTGGATTGCTTTAAAAAAGGCCTGGATTGTTTCTTAGATACACAGAATATAACTGGATACTAACATTTATAGGTAAAGTTGATCCAGGGAATATCTGATTGCCTCTTGGGGGATCAGGAAGAAATTTTTTTACCCTGCAGGAGCAAATTGGATTATGCTTTGCTGGGTTTTTTTGCCTTCCTCTGGATCAACTGTGGGTATAGGATTATAACTTTTTTTTTTTTAAATGGTTGAACTGCATGGCCTTTTGTCTTTTTTCAGCCAGACTAACTATGCAACCTTGTAAAAAGCTTACCCTCGAGTCTAAGCTAAAAATTGAAAACAAAGGAGAACAGCCTGCTTCATTTTTTTCCTGCTTCAGTTTTTTGTCTAGATGTCACAGTGGAGCATTGGTCCAGCCTACTCTCTTTTGTCAGTGATCTGCTGACCTGAGAACACCTGCTTTTGATGCAGAAGATCTATTCCCAAACATACCCACTACAGGGTTTCTCAGTGCCTTTGCTTGCAGAGAACCTGTTGTAAATATTGTCTGTGATACAAAGTTTTACAAAGCCACCAATCAAACTGGTCTTAAAAGTTTAAATAGTACTGGTGATACCATAAGTAGAGTAAGGTAGTCACCCAGTACAGCCCTTATGGTAAAAACTTAAGCTGGATATTCATGGACCAAAAAATCAGCCAAAAACTGTCCGTTCGGTAGGAACCAGCTGACTTTCAGCCCGTGTGTACAGCATCTCGTCCAACAGAAGCCAATCTCTTGGCCAGCTTTTGTCAAATGGGCATGCTGGAAAAGCCAATGGCTGCCAGTGTTGATCAGTGTGTCCTGGAGGGCAGGGAAGGTAGGGGCGCAGTCCCCTGTTTCGAACAAAATAACTCTGTGTTTTTTTTTTCCTTTCTGTTCAGCCCACTAGGTTGAATAAAAAAAAAAAAACAACATTAATGACCCTGCGAGGTTCTCTCTGTATTCTTGCTATGTACGGTGGTTATGATCTGAGATTATTGATCAAATTTTATGACAGTAGCAAAGTTGTAATATTTGCTGCATAGCATATGCTGCTCATTGATTACATTGTTGTATATAGTTGCTTTTTAAAAGGTCCACTATTGCAAAATGTATTTTTTTGGTCAACCATATGTAGTTAATACATGTAATCATATATTCAGTATATGCAATAATTTGTTTTAATTTACATGCCTTTTAGTACGCTTTTAATGAAATTTACATTCAAACCATACTGTCCAGTAAAAGTTACCAAGGTGTGGACAAACCTCTTTCTCCGAAGGATGTTTCAGCAGTTGCAGCAATTTACACCAAGTCAATAGAAGATGACCATAGTAAGCAATTATTGTTTTTCCCAACCTCCCTCGCAATAACTTTTACTTGAAAGGTTTGTATGCATGTAAAATTTAGAGCAAAATATAAATACATAAAAAATGTATCTGAATATATCAATACATGCATACACAAAGTTATTAAAGTTATCACAATATAATCATTTTTTTTAAATCATGGTCCTTTAAAAAAAGAAATATTAGAGGAGATTGTCCAGCCAAAAGTGTTCTTTAAAAACCTAAATAACCTCACTTTGTACCACAATGATGAGCATAAGGGCATCTATGCATGCACAGCACATTGGACTTTGAAGACCGTGTACTATTGCGGCAGAAATCAACTCTTGTTTGCCAAGAACAAAAAAAATTGGTTTACAGTGTTTACAATATCAGATTACCAAACTGTACATACTGTCTGGTCTGACAAATCTCAATTTCTATTTCAACATACAGATGGTAGGGCCAGAACTTGGTATACGCTCCCAAAACATTGTGTGTAAAAAAAAAAATGCTACACAGTCTTTAAAAATTTCAGGCACAAGAAAAAAAAAAAAAAAAAAAGAAAAAAAAAAATAAATTCAAATGTATTTCCCAATAGCCATGAAGGATATAAATCCATTATGTGTGCCCCAAATGCCTTTTCAAAACCAAATGTTACCTTGCAAAAGTAGCAGTGACTTCATCACTTTGCTGTACATAGCAGGGCAGAACAGTGGCTAAATGGTTAGCACTTCCGCCTGGCAGTACTCGGGTCGTTGGTTGGAATCCCAACCACGGCACTACCTGCCTGGAGTTTGCATGTTCTCCATGTGCCTGCGTGGGTTTCCTCCGGGTACTGCAGTTTCCTCCCACACTTCAAAGACATGCTGGTAGGTTAATTGGCTCCTGTCTAAATTGTCCCGTGTATGTATGAATGTGAGTTAGGGACCTTAGATTGTATGCCCCTTGAGGGTTAGGGACTGATGTGAATGTACAATATATATATGTAAAGCGTAAATTGACGGCGCTATATAAGTACCTGAAATAATAATAATAGTCTGTGCAGAAAGTAGAGCTGTGGGAGGGGCCCATTGGCACAACCCACTACAGACTGCCTGCAGAAAACTACAAGAGGAGGCAGAGACAAGACCAGTCACCATGCACAAGGAGAGAGAGCAGCAGTGACTGGTCTTTACTACAAGTACAGAGGCAACATTTCACTCTGGATTACTGCACAGATCTGGAAAAAATACACCAAGATTCAAGTTTGAATACATAATAAATGACTCTTGCATTTAGACAATATTTGCTTATCCCGAAGTTCAGGTTTAAGGTATTAAATCCCTTAGAAATAAATCCGGCATATTGTCCAATCCACGCCACAAAGATTTCAGTACAGCAAAACAGAATACTAACTGCCACTAGATGGTTGTACCTAATAGAGAGGTCACTGAGTGCATATATTGAAATTAGGTCATTATTGAAAGCTTACGAAAAATGTGAATTCGCCTGTGCAGTGTTGAGGACATCCAGAAGTGATGATTGTGAAGGGACCTCAATGACTTCTTCAAAATTATGATCTTCCACTACTAGTCGAACATGAATTGGCTTTTCAGCAATGGCAACTTCATGAAGGTCAGGAAAAGTGGTAGGGATTGACAATGGCTTATCTAAAGGAAAGCACAAGATTCACAAACAATGTATATCAGTTCCAGACATTGCAACTGAACTTAAATACAAGATGAAGGGTGGGCATAGACAGCACAACAATTACTAGCAATGCTCATGATTTTAACAATTGCTGACAATTATCAGGAAACAGTTTTTTTGACATAGTGAAAAACCCCAATCCCCACAGAGCAAGACAAATTGTCTACAATCTATAATCTAAGAGCGGCTAACACCAATTGCGATTCACACATGAAATAAATATATATAAATAACGTGCAGTGCTCAAATAGTTCCTAACTAAATGAATGTAATAGGCAACTCCCCTAACAAAATATCTCAAAATCCCACAACAACATAAATGTGGTCAATATATCTAACCTTCTGTGCATACAAATATAGTGGTTAATACAATTGCTACGTCTAAATTGGCCCTAGTATGTGTGTGTATGAATGCGAGTTAGGGACCTTAGATTGTACACCCCTTGAGGGTTAGGGACTGATGTAAATGTACTATATATATATATATATATATATAAATATAAAATGTATATGTGTGTAAAGCGCTGCATAAATTGATAGCGCTATACAAGTACCTGTAATGCATAAATAAATACCCTCTTCAAAGTAAAACACCCATGCATAATACCTCAAAAGAATCAGCGCTGTGCGAGTGAATGAGTATAAACCTCACTTGGAGGTGTACCTTTATTGCATTAAAAGAATTACAATATGTGAGGTGGCCTGGGCAAGGTGGAGGACCCGTTCGCTCCTTTGATGTAATGATGCAGGGCAGAGAGAGCTCCTGTGCACTGTTGGTGAAACACAAGACCATAGCGTCCCAGAACTGGCGTCACCGCGATCTTGGAGGAAGCAGAAGGGAGGATCCTGCCTTGGAACGCAAGCCGGTGGACAGGGCCGCTAACCTAGGCAATGCGTTTCACGCACATGCGCCTTATCAAGTCTACGGGTAGAAGGAAAGCGGCCATTTTATAGGAGTATAACACCGGGCACGGAGGCTGGCTGGGGACACACAGGGGGACCGGAATGGAGCGGACGGCTCATCCCACCTGCTTAACATATACAACCATTATGAATTCAGGAACAGATTGATGATAACAAAACCAACTGTTAAAAACAATGTTAAAGTGCTACATTAATATAGAAAAGTATATATATTATATGTTTAAAAATCGGCTGTAAGGGAAATTCATTTAACACACATATGCCCTTTTGGAGTGTCTCGTTAATTACATTAAATCACCAGGTAACTAAGGGCACAATAAATAGTAAACGCATTAATTAGTACTTGTATATTATGTACTAACAATATAAAAAGGGTCCCCCTTAAAAATTATCCCCCTATAGGGAGGACATAAATATGCCAGAAAATATATGCAAAAAATGACTAAAAGCATCATATATATCATTCAAACAGCAAAAACCACAATGAGTATGTACATAAATCTTTTTAATCAGATCTGCTGAATCTTCATTTAACAAAAAAAAAAAAACCACTCACAACATGCTACACTGTGACCCACTTTTTGTGAAATTGGGTACGATCCCACCTGTGCAATATCAGACCTCTAAAACTACAGGAGGTCACACCAGCACTCTTCCCCAGATGGGTTAATCCTTTTAGTCATTGCACTAGGATCAGTCCAGGTAGAGCTCAATAGTACGTGGTCACATAAGCCACTTTGCCCTTAAGGGTTAATCCTCATAAGTCTCTTGAGTACCATCCATCCAAGCACAGCTCATGGCTCCACCTTACATCCTTTGGACTTCATCAGAAGGTATAACAATTGTGTCAACCACAATTGGGGGAATAAATGTATGTATGTATCTATGTATATGTTTACACACAGAAGGTTTATTGGCCAATAGGTTATTGGTGGGATTTTGAGATATTTGTTTAGGGGAGTTTCTTATCACACTGATTTAATTAGGGATTACATACAATTATATACAAACACACTAATATATATATATATATATATATATATAAATATCTCTATCTATCTATCTATCTATCTATATAAAATTCTTCTGACATAGAACACAGGAAAAAAAAAACTAAATACTTCATATATCTTATTGTCTCCATCAGCTAAGGGTCACGGCAAGCCCTGTATTCAAGTTCTTTGTTTGAGGGTGGGCAAATATGTTTTCAGCCATCAGGAAGATATCAGAGCTTCTGTGGCAATCTCTATTATTCAGAAACAATCTTTACTGAATCAACTCTAAAATGTAATGTTAGCTGAAACATATAAAAACTTTAAATTCTAAAACGAATGAACAAATGCATTACATACTGTACCCTTACACAAAGACAAGCCAAGTAACATAGTGTTGCATTATTTCTTGATACAAAAATATAGTTCTGCCCTATCCTTGCTCATGTTGGTTTTCCTGTGCTGTGAACATCCTGTAGACTCTTTGTAGGATCTTCCTGTGGACATGTGCTGCTCCACAGGTGGCTGAAAGTCATGGTTTAACTGCGTAACTATACTGGAATGTACCATTGCACTTTTTTTTTTTTTGCAAGGCTGCCTATAGCTCAGGAGCGTGCAGCCATATTAAATTTGTACAGTTTGGGGTTAAGCTTAAAAAAAAGAAGGGTATGAGTTTCAATTAAAGAAAATTAAAAAAAAGGGACTCACCTACCTAGATACAGCACTGGTTTGATGCTGCATCTTTCCCCTGCCACTTCTAAGACCTAGAACTGAACAATTAAAGACCACTAATCGCTCAGTTTTCAGCCTTCAGTGAGCAGAGAGCCGGCTCTGCCCCTCCAGCACTCACTGGAGCGCTGGGCTGTGGAGGGGTAGGAGTGGCTGGCTCAGGCTCTCAGTGGCTTGCTGAGAAGCTGAGCCAGCTGGTCCAGGGATAGTTTTCAGAACCTGGACCACAATGATGTGATTCATAAAATGGGGTCTTCTAATCAGACTGTCCATCATTTAACAAAAAAGGGTGCCACTGTCCAAATCTTGCTAAAGGGATGCCTTTTTGAAAAAGGTTGAGAAACACTGGTTTAGCCAACCTCTAATAGCTTTAGTGTCACACTAGCACTCTTAATGAGTATGTAATCCATGTTGTGCACGCACTTGGATCAGTCCAGGTACAGCTCATGCACACTGGAATTTTTTAAATGTTAGGGGCATCTGGAGTTTTTTTGTTCTGCTCTAAATGACCCTGCATGTTAGCCTGTGCATCCATGCATGCATCAAGTTTTAGAAGCATTTAGAGGGAAAAAAATACCCACTGTTAGTGTGTCAAGAAACAGCAGCATTTTGGAATAAAAAAAAAAATCCTTGAAGTTAACACAGGCATGACAAAAGCTTGAGCATTGATTTATTTCCTGGCCATTTTGAGTAGATTATTATTCTGGCCACTGAAGTAATTAGGGAAAATTATATAAATCAAGTGCTTGTCTAGAAATATTTATCTGTTTGCAAGCGCCTATCTGCAAATATACTGCTTCATAGAACACAGGAAAGAAAAAAACTATATGTCTCTTCCATATACTATTGATCTCCATCAGCTAAGGATCAAATGAGCAATTGTGGACACCTTTGTTTGTGTCCAAAATTATTCAACCCCCACTGAAATTGAGTGTTTTTTGTGGCAGTTTGACATTGCTTTTGATCATTCAGTCATTTGCTTACATTTACATTAAAGAGGCACTTGTAGGTCAGACATAATATAACATAACAATTCTAATGAAAATAATGCATTACATACTGTACCCTTACACTGTGCTCACAGCATTACATAGTTTTATTTCAATACATTCAAAAATCTTAGTACTTGTACAGCATCCTTGCTACATTATAACAGCTGTTAAACGTGAACATAGTTGTGACTCTTTGCAGCGATCTTCCTGTGGACTTCTGCCCCACAGGTGGCAAAGGCCTCATCAGTTTCACTTAACTTACTGCGCACTGTAATTGCTTTTTTAAGTCCCACCAGAGGTTTTGCAATCTGCCTAAGGGTGACTGGAGCGTGCACTCCATATTAAATTTGTACAGTTCCTCTGCAACCATGCTTAAGTGGACTTAAAAAAAATGCTTGGGATCATTGTCCTGTTGAAAGGTCCAACGTTAGCCTCAGGTGTGTGACATCCTGTTTCCATCCAATATCTCCTGGTACTGAAGAGAATTCATTTACCTTGCACACGCTGAAGCTTCCCTGTACCTGCAGAAAAAAACAGCCCCAAAGCATGATTGACCCTCCACCAGCTTCACATTTAGGCAAGCTTCTTTTGATCATAGAGCCTTGGCTCTCCCCCTCCAGCAATCAGCTTGATCTGGGCTGGCCCAAGGGGTTTAGTTTTGTGTTTCTCTCAGGCTGAGAAGCTGACCAGCAACTTTTGTGCTTGTCACATGGCTTTTTCAGAACCAGGACCAGCTCTGATTTTTGGAGAAGCAAGGGGGCCTTAATTCTAAAGGGGCCGGAGGAGTCCATAATCTTAAAGGGTGCGTCTTTGAAAAAAGGTTGGGAAACACTGGTTGTACCCAACTGACAAATCTTGTCTAAGCTCAGCAGTGACACGGGACTTTCTCCACTCTACGCTTAATGAAGTAGTTCACAGCAGTGCACGAAGTCAGCATCCTTTTTCTGCCACACCAGGTGGAATTTTTTCAACAGTGCCCTTTGCCTTGAATTTGCGAATGATGCTTCCTAAGGTGTCTCTTGGTATGTTTAACATCTTTGCAATCTTCTTATAGCCTTTTTGAGGGGCTGGAGTTTTTCCTGTGCTAAAGAAAAAATACCTCTTCTCATACAAGTCTTCCTACCCATTCTCTTGCCTTCTGTTTGTAAACAAAAAAATGTCCTTGAGCATATTAACACTAGTTTGACAAAAGCTGCAATTTGCTTTTATGATTGCTGCCAGACATCACATTATTATTCTGGCCAATAGATGGAAAGAAATGTATAAGTCAAGTGCTTGACTTTCTAAATCTGTCTAGAAGTATTTACAGTCTTTGCAAGCGCCAAGTGTTTTTTTTGCAAATATACTGTCAAGGAGAAAGACATATAAGATATGTCTCTTACCAGATACTTTGATCTCCAATCAAGAGATCAAATGAGCAATTGTGGACACCTATGCACTTTCCGTTGGAGAATTTCTTTAGCACACAGCACTGTCTTATTGGATTTTGGGACTTTTAATTATTTAATATATGAATGTGGACTTATATATTTCAATTAATTTATGCATATTTTTATGTACCAGTATTTATTTGATTGATTAGTGTTTATGATTATTTAGTGTACAGCGCACTCGTTTTTCATATGTTTTGTATTTTCTGGTGTTCAGGGAAAGAGTAGCAGCAGTTCACTGATTGTTTCAGAATATATATATTTTTTTCACACATTTATTCGCATACTGTATTGTCTGGGGTGTAGCGCAGGTTTTTTTTCCCCTTTTTTCTGTATAGGAGACATGGGCAAACGCCCTGTGTGCATGAGGCCTTAGAAATCCTCTGTGCAGGTATTTCCCACATCCTGTTCCTGTTGCTGAAAGTCTGGTGCTGAGTTGGTTAATAGCTCTGTTTTCTCTGTGAAGCTGCAATTTACAAACTCCTGACAGGGACCCACACCCTGCTGCTGCCTTCTTCATTGAGAAAAAAAAGGATTTTGTAGTGTACACTCCATGTAGCATGATCTGTAAAAGGGGGAAAGAGAATCCTGTGACTTATCTGACTCTCCCCCATTCAGAGATTGTTACATGCAGTGCACACTATGAAACATCTTTTACCAATGGATGAGGAGGGAGGAGGGGATGGCTCCTTCTTGAGAGTTTGCTCACTGCAGCTTCACAAAAGACTCAAAGCTATTACCTATCACAGTGCCAGATATTCAGCACCAGGAAGAGGACGGGACATCCCTGCACAGAAGATTTCTACAGGATCCAGCTGCTCACATGTCATGAGACTTAGTCACTAAAGCAATAGAGATTTTTTTTATATACTTGAGCTTTAATTAAATAGATCTGTTGACCCTATCAGCAGGTGTATCCACAGGCATTTTCTTTCCTAAGGTGCCAAATGCACATTTAGTTGCAGCCAAGCAATTCTTTGTCACACTTTGTGTTTAGGCAAAACAGCCCTCGGCAGACTTTTTGTTGCGATATGCTGTAGTGGTCCGCTGTGCACTGTGTGGAAGAGCAGTCCTCTCCTGAGCTGTCTAACACTATTATGAGGCAGCACAGTGGCTAAATGGTTAGCACTTCCACCTGGCAGTACTCGACCGTTGGTTCGAATTCCAACCACGGCACCACCTGCTTGGAGTTTGCATGTTCTCCCTGTGCCTGCGTGGGTTTCCTCCGGGAACTCCAGTTTCCTTCCACATGCCAAAGACATGCTGGTAGGTTAACTGGCTCCTGTCTAAATTGGCCCTAGTATGTGTATGTATGAATGTGAGTTAGGGACCTTAAATTGTACACCCCTTGAGGGACTGATGTGAATGTATAATATATATGTAAAGCGCTGCGTAAATTGACAGCACTATATAAGTACCTGAAATAAATAAATTACAGACCTATAGCTTCCCAATTACTAGTGCTTTCCTTCCTACATTCAATTTGAAAGCTGTAAGTCAGCCACAAAGTACAGTGGTCCTCTATTCAGCATACTGCAAGTAACTGACTTTTCTACTGGGGCTGATTTATGATAATAATGGACATAGAATTGTTACGGTTTTGCTGCACCTTATTTTTATTTATGCGCTTTGAGCCAAAACCAGGATTAAACGTATTCACAGGACGGTGTGCAACACTATATTGGTTTCATTGTTTATAATTTAGATACACTTAAAAAGAATTTCACTTTCAAGTAAAACATTAACAATTTGCAAATTTTAGAGGACTTTTTTAATACAGCACTGGGTCACTCACGTACTTGCGACTGTGTCACACTTTATATTTGCCAAATTTAGGTAGGTCTTCTGGTGGAGCACAGGTAATAACTGGGACATCATCATTGGATTGGAGAACTTCCCTTGGACCACTGCTTCCAACAAGGCTCTTATTGCTTTGGAACAAGGTTCTTTGCCGCTTTGACCACCAAGTGCTAAGAGAAACTTGGGAAAAAAAATTTTTACTGATGTTACTAAGTTCTTCAAATGTCCCCATTGTTTTACAAGGGGCTTTCTACTCTGGGGAGGGGCACTGATTTCTTCACTGTATCGTGTCAGTACATTTACTGTTTTTTATTTAGATCCCCCCATGTAAACATGATTCTTATACTAAAAAAAAGATGTCTTTTTTTATCTATTCATTCATTCATTTATCTGAATATGTGGATATCTCTGGTTTATCCCCAAGTAAGGCTTAAAGTTGAAATTCAGGCAAATATACATAGAAAAAAAATAAATTACTACTGTATTTTTTCAATGCAACAAGTCTAAGTTCCTGAATTTTACTTGACATCAGCCTCCTGTAATCAACTGTACTCTACAATTTAGACTTGGGGAGAAATGGCAAGCACTAGGAGCCAAACAGGTGTGCTAGGAGCCAAAAAGGAATATGCAGACAGGAGCAGAGAGCAGAGTGATAGTCCAATCAGTATGTGGCTTCTCCCTAACTATCCAAACACAGGGTGGAGGCAGGAAGGTGACTTAGCTGCATTGCTTAACCACAATAGAGAAAAGTCAGGTCACCAGCCTGGCTGTGCAGTCTGGCAGGGCTATGCAAATTTCAGACTGGATGGACAGAAATACAAATCCCATGACAGATAAAATATCCCCCATATAACAGAATTTTTGACTTACCAGTAAAATAGGTTTTGGAATTTGGAAAAATGTTGCTTAAGGTGAACTTTAGCTTTAAACAAACATGTAAACAGAAGCCCAAGTGGTAGCCTTACAAGTCTTGGAATCCAATGCTGAAAAGCCCATGAGGCGCTAATAGACCTAGCCTTTAAGAGGGTAGACGTATCAGCATGAAAAAGGCCCTTTTCCCTCAGGACCATTGCTTTAACAGCTATGCTGTTAATACTAGGGTCCAAGAAGCCGAATGGAACACTGGACCATGGGACAGGAGGTCAGTACAAACCAGAACTTCTCATAGAGTGTCTGCCAGGAGTCTGAGTAAGTCCAAATTAGGTACCAGGTCCTCCTGGGCCAAATTTGGTGTGATGAGCATCACCAGAAAGTCCTCAATCTCCATCCTGCAACATAGGTGATGGAGAATCTGGAAACAAACCTTTTCAGTTTGTTGTTGAACCTGAATGCCAGGAGTTCCACATCTGGCATCCCCCAGTTGTGGCAAGGGCTCATTCTTCTGGATCCAGAACTGAGTCCAATTGCCAGTTTTCCATGCCTGGGATAACAGACAGGGCAAAGAAGTGAAGTTTTGTCCAAGACAATCAAGTCTGCTGATTTTGGCACAGCTCCTATTTCATTCTTGATAACGGATGTAGGCCATGGCCATGGCATGGTCTGACCACATTCTTGTCTGGTGTCCTTGCACAAGAGGAGTCCAGCTTTGAAGGGACAATTGTATCGAGTTCCAGAGTGTTGATGGATATGTGAGCTTCCTCTGACTATTATGTCTCCTACACCGAAAGCGCATACCCTCAAGGAATCTTCGGAGTGGTTATGGTGTAACCAAGCATTGTTATAAGAATCCTCATTGGAAAAAAATGCAGAGAAAAAACCTCCAAACAAGAAGGTAAACTTCTTTCAGTAGACAGAAGAGGCCCATCACTTTATGATGCTAGCAAACAACTGAGGCTAGCTGGGAGTGGGAAAGTTTATATGGAGGAGTTTTTCTTTTTTTTTTTTTTTTTGTCCAGTCACCTGAAGGAAGCTGCACATGACCCAGTTGTAAGGATTTCAAGAGGCTATATTGTACTGTACAAATCAGAATGCAATTTTTATGTGTGCATTTAACGATTTGTCTGGAGTTTTAAAACCTTATGACTTCTTCTTCCAGAATGTACTGCTAACACTACACAACCTGCAGTGCTTGCTTTGTAACCACAAAATGGTGCCAGAAATGCAAAATGATAAATATTGAGCAGTACCATAGAAATGATATAGACTATTTTTTTAAGTGCTCTAATTGGCAAGCTGTTACATCTAAACAATCTCTGCAGGCTTACCTGTACAGCAAGAGGTGTGCTATAGATGTTTCCTAATTGCCCATCAGTGCCCTGTGAGGTCAAAATTTTGTCTTTAATACTTCTTATGGCCTTCTTCATATAGACAACCTCTTCGCGTGGATACTTGTTGGAATTCTTTAAACATAAGAGCGCTAAACCAGCCATGGCTTCTGTGTCTGTGACAGTATAACATAAGGAAGCATGTTACCACAATGATTCAGAGATACAGGGAAAAAAAAAACTGCGGCCCAAGATCTAATAACCTCCTGGTTGGTAAATGTCCTGGGAAATCTTTTGTTCATGAAAATTTATAATGAGCATATGCTTAAACACAAATACACAGGGGTTACCGTCTGTGAAAGTTGCATGTGAAAATGATCAGTAGATCCAGAAATACAGGCATCTGATGTTACACAGTAGTAGCCATTTTTCCTGTAATACTCATTCTTGGACCTGTCCCTTCCTACCACCCAATAGGTCCTGTTACATACTGAATATCTGCCTTTGGTTTGTGAAGTTAAAAATGTTCACTTTATGATATATGTTTTGTGTGCGATGGCTGTGCTGAGCCATGTTTGCTAAAAATATAACATAATAGCTTACAAGGAATTGATGACATCACCAATGTCTACATATATATATTTTTTAAAGCCTAGCTTCGAGTCTTATTAACGGTTCATGGTTTGTGGTTGTCCACACAGAAAGCGTATTCGCACAGCTGAGCCAGTGAATGTGCATATCTAGAGATATCTGCAGAACTTCACCATTAGCAGGAGTTGATGACAGGTTTGTGAGTTTTCTGTACTAGTCACTTGCAGTGAAGGTAAATCAGTAACCTAAATTCATACATTCTACATGGTCCCTGTTCCTTACCTATAGAGATGGTTTTTCCATGGATAAACTGATTCTTTTCTTCAGCACGGGTGATCTTGTTGATAAAATGTTTATCAATTAACTTATCATTAACACACAAAGCCAGAATACCAAGGCTGTATTGATAATAGCTGGTTAATGGTTTGTCATATAGCACTGTTAAGTGAAAACAGAAAGAAATTATTTTTACAGAATAAAGTACAGAATTAACACCATTAGCATTGGAAGCTATCGGAATTACTGGAAAGTAGGTAGGTGTGAGACAAAATTGTTAGCCTTGGATACAGTGGTGTGGGATTAGAAACTCTGCTGCCTGTGTTCCCAGTGAGGGGAGTCACTCTATTTGTCCGAGAAGGAAAGCGAGGAATAATCCAACATTGTAAGTTTTTGCTTGAACAGGAGTAGGGGGGAAATTCCAATGAAGATACATGTTTTGGTGACAACTTGGAAAGATCTCCTCACACTTCCTATTGTGTGTACAATATAGGAAGTGAAGGAAAGTCTTCCAAATGGATCACAGATAAGTGAAAAAAAAAAATAAATAAATAAAAAAAATAAAATTATATACACACACACACATACATACACATACACACACACACACACTGCTCCAAAAAATTAAAGGAACACTTTTTAATCAGAGTATAGCATCAAGCCAATTAAGCTTTTGGGATATTGATCTGGTCAGTTAAGTAGCAGAGGGGGTTGTTAATCAGTTCTAGCTGCTTTGGTGTTAATGAAATTAACAACAGGTGTGCTAGATGGGCAACAATGAAACAACTCCCAAGACAGGAATGGTTTTAGAGGTGCAGGCCACTGACAATTTTTTCCCTACTCATCTTTTCTGACCGTTTTTCACTAGTTTTGCATATGGCTAGGGTCAATGTCACTACTGGTAGCATGAGGCGATACCTGGACCCTACAGAGGGTGCATAAGCAGTCCAACTCCTCCAGGATGGCACATCAATATGTGCCATTGCCAGAATGTTTGCTGTGTCTCCCAGCACAGTCTCAAAAGCATGGAGGAGATTCCAGGAGACAGGCAGTTACTCTAGGAGAGCTGGACAGGAACATAGAAGGTCCATAATCCATCAACAGGACCGGTATCTGCTTCTTTGTGCAAGAAGGAACAGGATGAGCACTGCTGGAACCCTACAAAATGACCACTGGTGTGAACATCCTCTAGTGGGCCGATGCTAGTGGGCCCTATGTCCTCTAGTGGGCCCTGTGCTCACTGACCGCACCATAGAGCTTGATTTGCATTTGCCATTTAACACCAGAATTGGCAGGTCTGTGCTTTTCACAGATGAGAGTGAAGAACGTTATGCTGCCTGTAACATCATTCAGCATGACCATTTTGGTGGTGGGTCAGTGATGGTCTGGGGAGGCATATCCATGGAGGGACACACATACCTCTACAGGATAGACAATGGCACCCTGACTGCCATTAGGTATCAGGATTAAATCCTTGGACCCATTGTCAGACCCTATGCTGGTGCAGCAAGTCCTGGGTTCCTCCTGGTGCACGACAATGCCAGGCCTCATGTGGGGAGAATATGCAGGCAGTTCCTGGAGGATGAAGGAATTGATACCATTGAATGGCCCCCATGCTCACCTGACCTAAATTCAATAGAACACCTCTGGGATATCACGTTTCGGTCCATCAAACGCCGCCAGGTTGCACCTCAGACTATCCAGGGTTCAGTGATGCCCTGGTCCAGATCTGGGAGGAAATACCCCCGGACACCATCCGTCCTCTCATTAGGAGCATGCCCCGACGTTGTCAGGCATGCAAACAAGGATGTGGGGGCCATACAAACTACTGAATACCTTTTTGAGTTGCTGGAATGAAATTTCAGCAAAATGGACTGGCCTGCTGCATTATTTTTTCACTTTGATTTTCAGGGTGTCTTTGAATTCAGTCCTTTTTAGTTTCATAATTTTCATTTCCATCAAACCATGGGGCATTCTTACATTCCTAACACATTACCCAGTCCATATCAGTATAGATATCAGCATGATATTTTTCCCCATTGAGATCTGATGTGTTTTCAAAGTGTTCCTTTAATTTTTATATATATAAATATATATATATATATATTATATATTAGATTATATATATACACAGTTAGGTCCATATATATTTGGACACAGGCACAATTTTAGTTTTTTCAGGTATTTACCAAAACATATTCAAGCTATAGTTATATATTGGATATGGGCCGAAAGTGCACACTCTCCGGTTTAATTTGAGGGTATGTATGTCCGAATTGGAGGAAGGGTTTAGGAATTACAACTCTTAAGAGTAGTCATCCCCCCTTTTTCAAGGGAACAAAAGTAATTGGACAGTTGAATAAAAAGCTGTTTCATGGCCAGGTGTGGGCTACTCTTTTGTTATTTCTTCATCAATTAAGCAGGTAAGAGGTCTGGAGTTGATTCTAAAGTGCACTTTCAGACCATATTCATTATATAACTATAGCTTGAATATGTTTTGGTAAATACCTGAAAAAATCTAAGATTGTGCCTGTGTCCAAATATATATGGAACCTAACTGTATATATGGCAGGGGGTTTAACCATTCGCCACACTATCCAAAATAAAAAAAAAGGGCTTTAGATATACTTTAATAGGAAAACCATACCAAATAGGAAAACTATACCAAATGTATACATTTTAATTTATTATTTTAAAGTGTAAATGTGCATATTTTTAATGTGAACGTCACATAGGTAAAAGCTTGCTCTGGCATATTCTAGGGAAGACATTTCATATAAGGATGTGTAATTTCCAGTACTTTGGTTTTCAGCACAACAAAAACTCAAACTTATTTTGGTAATGAAAAAAAGTGTCCCTCTCATGACCTGACTGCTTACCATAACCCAGTCCTTAGGCCGACCCCAATACCTAATCAATCCCTTACTCTAAAATTTAACCAACCCCCTTAAAATTTGACCTACTTTGGTGCCTAAATGTAACCCTGTAACCTAACTCCTAACTTTTAACTTGACTCTAAAACCTAACCTAGGCCTCTTCCTAACACCAAGGTAACCACTTCATCACCCAGAAACACACTGAAACTTTGACTCTATAGTATACATCTAACATAAAACCATTAGCACTTAAAGCTGAAGTCCCGGAGCTGTACGAGAGGCCTTCCTCTACACGTCAGGCTCCCCACGAGGTACTGTACATGACACCAATTATCTACATTTCTATGGTCAGATTTTTCATCCAGATTGATCAGAATGATTTTGATTAAACTGAGTTTTGCTCAAAAATGATCAATGGCAAACTAGGTGTCTTTTTGATAATTCATGTATCCAAACATATTATTTGATTTGGTGAAGAAATGTCTGATCAGATGGTTAAAAGTATGGCACCATTAGATGATGAATGGACACCAGTGACAGGACAGTGTAGCTCAATCCATATGGGTGCCTGGATAATGTAACTCCAGTTAGGAAATCTGTGGCCAACTTCCTATATGTATGGCCATACACTGCAAAATTAACTATGTGGGTGGCTGCGTCAGGGACCCCTTTTGCCCAATATCCTGGTGGAAAACTGTCAGCTGAAGATCAGCCGCTCTTCAGGTTTTCTGAATACAATAGCCCAACACAAGGGATCTGTCCATCTGCACAGGTAACAGAGATAGAGGAATCTCTGTTGGATATTTTTCGTTCAGCCGGAATGAAAATTATCTAAAAATATAAGGCCAACTTAACAGGTTTGACCACTACCCCTTTTGAACAATTGCTTAGACAACAGGATTCACCAAATTGAGTATGGGTTCTTTTCAATCAATGCTAACATTTCCAGTAGGAGTAAACAGTACAGCAAAGTTCCTAACCTCTGCTCATGCTACCCAACACTGAAAAATGTAGTTCTATAGTGTCATATATACACGACAGACGAAAAGACTAGAAGGGTTTGAGCCTAGTCATTACCTAAACTTTCTTTTTCTTTGAGGAGATGATGTTTCAGACATGTGATTAACTTGATTCTGTGTGTGTTGTCACAGGAAGCCTTCTGGCCATCAAGTGAAGAGCGATTAGTCCTGTCTTTGGCTCAACATCCTTGGTATTCAAGCTGCTAGAAAGACAAATATTGTGCTCAGTTCATTTTTTTATCAGAATAAAAACACAGAGATAAGGGAAAACGTCATAACAACTGCTACATTAGATCTTTTTAATTAAATGATGAAAATGAATAATTTAACAACCTAAAATTTAGATTTATTTGCAAAAGCACACAATGGTTAGAATCATGCATCCATAAATCTACAAAGCATAAAACACGGTGTAGAGTAGCTATGGCATAACGTTTTCTAGTGTAGAATAGTCACGGTGTGTTACCTGCTACAAAGATCCGCAGGCTTCAGTTTTTGAAAGTATTCATTTTCTTTTTCCAGATTGTGCTCTTCGGAAAGACGAAGTCCAATATGCACACTGGGATTGGCCTCTTTATCATGTGTTACCATTAAAAGTTTTTGATTTAATTCTCTAACCAAATCTTTTTTGTTTTCTGGTATTTCTTTGTAGAAAAATTAAAAAGATGTAAATTCAAGAACCAGCAAATTAGTAAAACCATAATCACAAATAATATATCTACAGTAAATTGGAATGGTAAAACAGCCTAAAGTTACCCTGTTACCTCGTCCATTCAGGACAAAGTGACAATGTTTGATTAAAGTGGTTCTAAAGCCTAACTTTTTTTTACCTTAATGTGTTCCCCACATTAAGGTAAAAAAAAACTCCCCACTAACTGTTCCCCCTACCCCCCTGTCAATCACAGCCAGTGAGGAGGGAGTGGGGGTGGGCCAAGCCAAACTGTGTGTCTATGGCAGTGTTTCTCAACCTTTTTTCAGTCAAGGCACCCTTGAAAATTATGCACAAATCTTGAGGTACCCAGTTCTAAAATGTAAAAAACTAAACTAATAGCTTTACATATTGCAGCAACATCCAAATATACAGTCAGGTCCATAAATATTGGGACATCAACAAAATTCTAACATTTTTGGCTCTATACACCACCACAATGGATTTGAAATGAAATGAACAAGATGTGCGTTAACTGCAGACTGTCAGCTTTAATTTGAGGGTATTTACATCCAAATCAGGTGAACGGTGTAGGAATTACAACCGTTTGCATATGTGCCTCCCACTTGTTAAGGGACCAAAAGTAATGGGACAGAATAATAATCATAAATCAAACTTTCACTTTTTAATACTTGTTTGCAAACCCTTTGCAGTCAATTACAGCCTGAAGTGTGGAACGCATAGACATCACCAGACGCTGGGTTTCATCCCTGGTGATGCTCTGCCAGGCCTCTACTGCAACTGTCTTCAGTTCCTGCTTGTTCTTGGGGCATTTTCCCTTCAGTTTTGTCTTCAGCAAGTGAAATGCATGCTCAATCGGATTCAGGTCAGGTGATTGACTTGGCCATTGCATAACATTCCATTTCTTTCCCTTAAAAACTCTTTGGTTGCTTTTGCAGTCTGCTTTGGGTCATTGTCCATCTGCACTGTGAAGCGGCGTCCAATGAGTTCTGAAGCATTTGGCTGAATATGAGCAGATAATATTGCCCGAAACACTTCAGAATTCCTCCGGCTGCTTTTGTCAGCAGTCACATCATCAATATATACAAGAGAACCAGTTCCATTGGCAGCCATACATGCCCACGCCATGACACTACCACCACCATGCTTCACTGATGAGGTGGTATGCTTAGGATCATGAGCAGTTCCTTTCCTTCTCCATACTCTTCTCTTCCCATCACTCTGGTACAAGTTGATCTTGGTCTCATCTGTCCATAGGATGTTGTTCCAGAACTGTGAAGGCTTTTTTACATGTCGTTTCCCAGGCAAACTCTAATCTGGCCTTCCTGTTTTTTGAGGCTCATCAATGGTTTCCATCTTGTGGTGAACCCTCTGTATTCACTCTGGTGAAGTCTTCTCTTGATTGTTGACTTTGACACACATACACCTACCTCCTGGAGAGTGTTCTTGATCTGGCCAACTGTTGTGAAGGGTGTTTTCTTCACCAGGGAAAGAATTCTTCGGTCATCCACCACAGTTGTTTTCCGTGGTCTTCCGGGTCTTTTGGTGTTGCTGAGCTCCCAAGGTGCGTTCCTTCTTTTTAAGAATGTTCCAAACAGTTGTTTTGGCCACGCCTAATGTTTTTGCTATCTCTCTGATGGGTTTGTTTTGTTTTTTCAGCCTAATGATGGCTTGCTTCACTGAGAGTGACAGCTCTTTGGATCTCATCTTGAGAGTTGACAGCAACAGATTCCAAATGCAAATAGCACACTTGAAATGAACTCTGGACCTTTTATCTGCTCATTGTAATTGGGATAATGAGGGAATAACACACACCTGGCCATGGAACAGCTGAGAAGCCAATTGTCCCATTACTTTTGGTCCCTTCAACAAGTGGGGAGGCACATATGCAAACGGTTGTAATTCCTACACCGTTCACCTGATTTGGATGTAAATACCCTCAAATTAAAGCTGACAGTCTGCAGTTAAAGCACATCTTGTTCATTTTATTTCAAATCCATTGTGGTGGTGTATAGAGCCAAAAATGTTAGAATTGTGTCGATGTCCCAATATTTATGGACCTGACTGTATAGAAAAACACCCAACGTTGGAGGTGATTTATTCTTCCAAAGCAAATACACACTGGTACTGACCAGTATTCCATTGTTTCTCTTCTCCCTCACTCAGCTAATGTGACCCCGGTACTGATGGATAGGGACAAACAAGGATGCTGTGCAGGCAGCTGACGTTCTCTTTATCAACTGATTATGTCATTGGTTGTTGGGACGCCAGCTGCTAGGTGGTTGTAATGATGCCCAATTAAAACCCGTGGATTTGTGTTACCAAAAGGCAAGCTTGACATACCCACTGGGTTGTGTACAATGTTTGAGCAATTTTTAGGCATTTTGCCAAGGAACCCCTGAAGAAACCTGAAGGCACCCTGGTTGAAAAAGGCTGGTCTACAGCGGCACAGAGCTTGCTCGGAAGTGAGACTGCACGAGTGCCCCCAAAGCTAGTAACTTGCTATGGCGGGCACTTGGCAGCAGAGAGGAGCCAAGAGCAATGATAAGGGGACCCAAGAAGAGGAGTATCGGGGCTGCTTTGTGCAAAAAACCATTGCACAGAGCAGGTAAGTATAACATGTTTGTCATTTTACAAAAATTATTCTTTACAATCACTTCAAGACGTCTATAGACATGATGGTTCCCTCGATCTGGCTTATTTTACCTGTACTGGGTGGACATTTTTATAAATATGGGGCAATTGATTGATTGGGGGAAATCAATCGATTTTAAAAGCTTTGTTTCCTGTGAGAAAAGCCAGTGCTGAAACTGAGACCCTCCTTCCTTTACTTAAACTGTAATGTTTGTTTTGTACTCTTACTGTTGCTGAGAAAAGTCTTGTCCTCAATCAGGCTGTGCAGTATGCCACAACCAAGTATACCTCAGGACTGGGATAGAAAAAAAAAAAAAAAAACATTTTTTCCCAGGTAACAACAGCTTGTTGCCACTAATAGTAGTAGTTTGCAGGTGGGTGATTACATTATGTTACTTTTGGTTCTCCTTGATATGTTTTTTTTTTTTTTAATGTTCTGCTTGGTGTATGCAGGGATTAAGTATTTTTCTTGTGACATGTCTTCACGTGTTACTTTCTTCATGAAGGTTATATACAGTATAAAAAGTTGGAGAACTGCCTCGTGGTATAGACAGGCATGGGTAGCAAGTCGTGAGCATCCCAATGCTATGTAATGATTCTATCGGCAGCATAATCCTTTACCCTAGGTTCACACCTAAGCATTTTCTGCAGTGTTTTGCAAAAACGTAGTACAGTCCATTTGACATGATTTCCTATTGGACACGTTTACACCCAGGGGCAGACTGACCATTTGGAAACTCGGGCACCGCCCGAGGGCCCGGGGTTAGTAGGGGGCCCAGGAGATGCCCCAGGTACCTTTTTCATAGGCTTTTTTGAGTTTGGGGAAGGACACAGGGACCCCATGATCCCCTATTGCCCGGGGGCCCCATGAGCTGTCAGTCCGCCCCTGTTCACACCTGAGCGTTTCCACCCGATGCATTTTTTGGAAAGGGTCAGGGACTTTTCTGAGCGCAAAACCTTGCATTTTTGGTTCTATGGACTTCAATGGGAATGCTGCAGAAAAACATGTATTACGTTTTTGCTGCATTTTGCGCAAAACGTGGCAAAAACGCAAGTGTGAAAATGCAAAACGCACCGCAAAAAGCACTGCAGAACCGGATCAAACGTAACCTGCATAGGCATGAACCTAGACTTAATGGGACTCAATTTTGGGCAACCACAGAGATGGACTCCGAGTGGATTTTCATGGTTTAAGGTATGGGCAATACCATGAGATGGTGACAGGGCAGAAATCAGAGCACAGCCAATCATAGTACAACCAACTATAGCCCTGTACAGTATGTGACTGTGTTATACATAAATCTGTATACAACATTTATACAAATAAAACAAGTTCTTGAAAAAGAGGAGTTGTCTGGACTTAGTTACTAAGTAAGGGGAGTCAGAAGCCATGGTTAACCCTTTGGGTTATGAGTAAGAAGGAAATATCACAGTTAACCTCCTTCTGGTTAAGGAGGAATGAACAGTACAAAGCTGCAGTACAGAACGATCCTAGGGAACTATTTTTACTACATTGTAGTAAGTCAAATCAAACTGATGGAGACAAGTGGGTGCTTTGGGTGCCTCCGGCCTGAGAGTATTGTCTACCTACACCGAAGTTAAAGGATAAGTTCACCTTTTTAGGGTAGAACATGTAACATGTTCCCATAGCGGAAGTTGCTGTATGGCAAGCAGATATTCTGACAGATCTGCAGGACACCTGCACGGCATCAGCAATCTACTGGTGCAATGCTTTCTAGGCTCTTTTGGACAAAAATAATGCACATTTTTTTACCTGCAAAAAAAATGTGCATTTATTATTTTTGTCCAAAAGGTGAACTTATCCTTTAACCACCTCCCGTCCGGCCGTTGTATATAAATGGCTGGACGGTGGCAGTGCAGGGTCGGGTGGCCGTTTATAAATGGCCTTCCTGTCCCCTGCTTGTGCGTGCTCCCAGTGTAAAAAAAACAAACAATCTTCATCACCCCCCACAAGTAGTACAGTGTCACTATCGTGACCCTGTACTGCTAGGGTGAAAGTATGTAAAAAAAAAAAAAAAATATATATATATATATATATATATATATATATAAAGTTTTTTTTAAAAATGTATAATTTTTGGTTATAAACTAATTTGGGTTATTTTTTTTTTTAGATAATGGAATCAATTTTGGCCAAGATTTATGATGAAATATTATTTATTTGCAAAATGTTATAAGAAAAACACTTTTTTTTCAAAATTTTGGGACATTTTCATTTACATAGCAAAAAAAAAAAATAAAAATCCCAGTGGTGAATAAATACCACCAAAATAAAGCTTTATCTGTCTCAAAAAATGCTAAAAAGTTCATATGGGTACAGCGTTGCATGACCATACAATTGTCATTCAAAGTGTGATAGCGCTGAAAGCTGAAAATTGGCCTGGACAGGAAGGGGGTTAAAAGTGTCCAGACTTGAAGTGGTTAAAGGCAATTTGTTGTTTAAATAAACATGTTATACTTACCTGCTTTGTGAAAAGGTATTGCACAGAACAGCTTCCTTCCTCCACTTCTCCAAGTGCCCCCACAGAAGGTCACCTGCTATAGGGGCACTTGTGTGGGCGCACTCCTGAGCTAGGCTGTGTCCATCCATAGACACAGGGCAGCTCAGACCCACCCCTTGTTTTCTGCTCATAGGATTTGACTGCCTGCAGAAGGAGCCAATGACTCCAACTGCCTCAGCAAATCCTGTGAGAGCAGGGAGTGGAACAGGGACCAGATGCAGCAGGGCACAGCGCTGGATCAATACAGGACTCAGGTAAGTGTTTGTTTGGGGGGGGGTTAAAAACATTTTACCTTTAGAACCACTTTAAGTCAATAGTGCAGTAGTGTACTCACTGTAATGGCCTGTAGTACTCTCCAGTAGCCCCTAGGGGGTAATCTGCTAACAAGTTCATTGAGATAAAATCATCCATTTTACTCACCAAACAGTTTTGCTTGAACACTAAAAGCTTGCACTGAGATCACCAGGACCAGCCAACTGAGAGCCATTATCTGCAAATAGAGCTACATTATTAAATCAAAAAAATCCTTGTGAGCATAGACATTTCTGTATTTATTAAAGTGACCTTATCAACACAGTATCACTTATTATTATACAGGATTTATAAAGCGCCAACAGTTTGCACAGCACTTTACAAAATGAAGGTAGACATTACAGTTACAATACAATTTGGTACAAGAGGAAACATTCAGTTTATTTGGACTCCCCCGGTCTTTTGAGGGCAGCAAGGAGTGCATATCCCAAGAATTTCGTTATGTGGTCCTTATGACATTGAGTCCATCCCTAAGTGCAGGAGTATCTGGGTTTTCCATTTCTACACTACTGTGCATTGAGGAATGCCTGATATCGGCTTTTGCAGAAGGGCTTCCTATGGGTCTTTTACGAGGCTTGACCTGCAAAAACAGTGTTAACCAGGGTGTAAACTCTGATTCCGAAGCGACGTACCTTCGACAAATCCACCATATGTGAAGCATGTTACCTACTCCCTGGCATCCTCTAAAACAGGAGGCAGGGTAGGATGGAATATTATTATTATTTATAATTTATAAAGCGCCAATAGTTCGCTCAGCGCTGTACATTACAAAGGGGGACAGAACATGTGACAGAACAATACCAATACAATGTGATACACGAGGGGTTCGAGGGCCCTGCTCTTTCGAGCTTACAATCTAGGAGTACATTGACTATTCGAGCTGGGGTAAAGTACCCAGCGAGAGAGCGCCTTAATAGGAGTTTTCCAGCGTTTGTACATTGAGGGAGATCCGAATGTACTCTGCCAAATCTTCACCCAATCCACCGAAGGGAGAGGGAAATCAATGTCTCATTCCCAGCTAAAGCAATAAAGGGGAGTGGCCTGGAAGGTGGTGCCTGTTTTACAGGAATAGATGAGTGATAACACTCCTCTTGTTGTGGAGCCATTTTTACATAAGAATTTGAAGGCAGTAATAGTTTTGGGGAGTAGTTGTTCTTTAACAGAGACTCGACTAAGTGTCATAGTTTGATATTTCCCTGCTGGGACTGTAGGTATAAGATTCTTGTTATTGTGCGAACAAGCGGATGCCCTTATCTGTTAACAGGGAGTATACTGTAGTGAACTCATGGTATAGCTACCATTTAAAGAATAGTGTAGCATCCATCCCCGGTGGAAATAGAGGACAATGAAAAGTTGAGGCAAAAGAAGATGGGATGAGAGCAAGTGAGATGCATATTTTATGGAGTTGATAGGTTTAGGGCATAGTTGGGGTGGAAACCAAAATTAGGGAAGGTAGGAGAATCTGATGGATGTTCTGGACATCCTGGAGGGCCCATAGTGGCAAGTCTAGATTGGAGTGAGCCCTGTAGTAGTATGCAATGTCTGGCATAAACCCCCGCTTAGCTTAGATTTATATGAGGTGTTTTGTTCAGTCTGGGTCTACCCGGGGCCCAGATAGATTTTATAACTTGATATTTCATTAAGAGTAAGACGTGCGAGGGAATGCGGATTAGCAGGACGTTGAGAGGGGAGAGTAACTTAGATAAGCAAGTAATTTTGATGGTGTGAAAGCGGCTGAACTAAGATATATGGGGAAATACAAGAAGGTTTTTTATCAGAGGGGAGCTCAACAACACCACATCTCCATCCTTCAGATGCTTATATTGCATCATATTACGAATTGTTGACGGGCATCATTTTACAATTTAACCATCTATTTTCAAATTAAGACTGACTGATAACTAATTTCAATATTTATCATTAGTTTGGACAGGTGGCATTTGGCTGATTGGACGGACGTTGGATGGGATTTACACTGCCCACCTTATGTGCAACCCATTGTGTGTGGTATTTAAGTACATTGCAATTTGACATTTGTCCTACAGATAGCGCTTTGAACTGTGTCGGGAGTTCAAGGCTAAATTAAGCCTAATTTGGCAATTCGTATATTGGTTTTCTCCTCCTGTCTGTCTGTGGGGTGGCTCCCACAGCACTGTAATGTTCTGCAGCTGCAATGTTGGTTGGCTCTTGTTGTGCATGGAAGTGACAGCCAACATGTAATGGACCGCCTGCCAGCACCTCTATCAGTCCCCTGGTAGAGCCTCCCCAGAGTGCAGAGTCTAAGCACCGGAGCACTTGTTCACCAGGGCCCCTGATGGTGGGGATGGACTTGGAGCGCTCCGGTACCAGGTCGCAACTACCAGGTATCTCCAACAGGGGTAGAGGAGTCTGACAGGGGCTCCAGAGAGCTAGGAGTCTGATGTAAGGGAGCCTAGTGATCCCTGCGGGATGGGTGGATGGATGAGCTAAATCAGAGTCATGCAGGCAGGGTCGGCAACTGGCGGATCAGTAAGGTACAAAATGGTAGGCAAAGGATAGTCGGGTCACACGCAGGGTCAATACCAGGAGGTCAGATCTAAACGGGAACATCCAGGAGCAGAGTCAGGCAAGCCAAGGGGGTCAGGACAGGAGAAGGCAACAAGGTCAAAACAATCCAGATCAGAAGTACTCAGAAGTAACAGGATACAAAGACCATTCGGCAACAAGTGTTTGTGCAGAGCTGGTTTAAATAGCCCGCCCTGCACCTGACAGGCGTAGCCTGGGTCCCAGTGCCTGCCTAGTACTGTCCAGACAACGGGTGCGCCTGGGTCCTAGTGCCCTGCCACCTATACGTCTCGGCAGACACCTACGCATGTGTAGACCAATGCGTCGCGATGGTTCCTGACACAACGTCTGTGTGGCGGCGTCACGTCGGCGGCGTCATGACGTCGTACATGGCGGGAAGGGCACATATAAATAGCTGGTTTGGTTCAAACAATTGTGTGGCTGATGGGGAGGTGGTGTTGCAGTGCTGGTGCTTTATTGGTGAGATCTTACTCTAACACATCTTGGAGCTTGTAACTGCTATTTTATACTAATGGTCTCCTAATATTTATATTTTTCCTTAAATGTTTGTGTTTATTTCCTCTTATTATTATTTTTTTGTTTTGATGCTCTTGCTGTTTCCACGTCCCCTCTGGTTAATTAATTTTGCTCTAATAGAGGTAGGTTGAATATTCAAAATTACACTCTAGTATGTGTAACGCCATTGGGAACGATGGTAGGTTCAAGTGTTTTGAAAAGCATGTTACATTTATTTTTCAGTATCCAATATGACATCTGTTGTTCGGTTTCTTTGATGTAACATAATTAAACCAAATGGCAATAATTGTAGATGTGGAGTATTTTGCTATTGATGCCTACCACAAATGTTTAAGGTACAACAATTTTTTACTCGATTTTCTGAAGGAAGTGTTTTTTCTGGAATTTTTCAGTAGTGGTGATGTCTTGTTAATTCCATACATAGCATGTGTGCTCTTCTACCAACCATCTGAGGCACCATCCTGTCCAGGCTATTTAAAGAATTCTTTGTCCTACATAATTGGCATTCATTACTTTGCACATTATCCATTTATTTGAGGCATTATGAAATCTTTGGTAAGTTGCCCTTCATCAATTCTTAGCAACAATATATTCTTATATGTAATCTTTTATACTTGATGTGATTTGAATTTTCTGATTTATGTATCTAAATATCCATTTTATTTGTACAATGTATAATTGATATGAACTTATTGTTGTAGGTGCTATATCTATTATCCCCTGAAGAAGCCTAAAATAGGCGAAACATGTTGAGAAATATTGCAACGAATCTATGCTTTTGTAATTTTTACCATTATTTTTGGCATACTCAATTGTTAATTATTTAAAGTTAAAAAGAATTTTTATTGATTTGACAATAAACATTTTATATCTACAACATTGTTTCACTTTTGAAAAAGTTCATCCTGGGACCTTTAAAGTCCCATTTATTCCCCTTTTTTCTGTGAGGAGTTCATTCTCCTCCTCCTTCTCCTTTGATTCCTTTCTTTCTTCCTTTTTTTTGGCAATTAAGATATATGGGGCTGATCCCATGCTACAAACAGGTCTTTAAGGGATTTTAGGAGAGGCACTATATTGGCTCTATAAAGGCAATATTAAGTGTGGATGAGTCCAGTACCCAGATATTGAAGATGTCCTCAATTGAGGAAGAGATACATTTAGTGCCATAGATTGAAGGATTCACATAGGAGGAGATTTACTAAAACTGGAGCATTCAGAATCTGGTGCAACTGTTCATGGTAGCCAATCAGCTTCTAACTTCAGCTTGTTCAATTAAGCTTTGACAATAAACCCTGTAAGCTTATTGTTTTCTATGCTGAGCTGCACCAGATTTTGCACACTCTGGTTTTAGTCAATTTTCCCCATAGAGCCCAGACAGGGCTGTGAACTAGGAGAGGTGTGTTAGTAAACTGGGGAGAGAGGTGGGAGGTATGGTTATGTATAGAAAAATATCATCTGCAAATACAGCAATCTTATGCTGGATGCAGATACTTCCAGTCCTTTAATGTCTGAATGCTGGTGGATGTGTGCTGCTCCTGCCAGATTTAAAGGGAGGAAAAGGGGCAACTGCCCCGGGCCCCCCCGCCAAACAAAAATTATATAAAACAATATTTAAAAAATCATATAAAATAATAACAAAATAACTAAAAAAATAACTAAAAAATAATGCAAAAACTTATATTAAAAAACACTTTATTTTATTAAACGCAGCTTGGGAAGTAAGATCATCTGTATCATCTGTAAAGGTTTTTACTCTAGACTGGTATATTGTATCAGTGCTATGACTACGTGTGTGTGTGCATGCGCATGCGTGATCTTAGAATGATGTTGTGTCATGCATTTTAAAAATGTGTCATTCTCATTGAGAATGTAAATCAACTCTGTGTATAAGAACCCCCCCAAACCTAAAGTGCCCTAGGCCCCCCAAGTTCTAAATCTGATCCTATGCGCTGCTAAGAATTCCAGGGCCAAAATGAATAACAGAGGAGCAAGGGGGCAACTTTGACAAGTGCCTCTTTGAATTGAGAAAGGCATGAACATGAAGTCATGGTATCAGATAGTTGCAGAAGGAGATTCGTAGATTTCAGCTGTATT